GTTGTCCGTCTTTTGGCATTTTCTACGGTGGTGTTTTAGGTCCATAGAAATGCGTTTTTGATATTTTTAGTGTTCAAATGTTGAAAAAATACATAAATATGCTCATTTTTATTTGTTTAAGTGGCCTATTTTGATTATGTTGTATGAATACAAATACAGTCTACAGATTAAATTGGAGTAACGTTAGCGAAGTTAGACTGTTGACTTATAGGACTGTGTTCGTTTAATTTTTTGAACTTTATTGGTATTAGATGTTTCAAATGATCACCTTTAAATATATTAAAACCTTTATACTTCACAATAACACTTAAATATTTATGAATGTGAGCTCAGTAGTCTATGGTTGCAGTAGTCTAAACTCGCCTACGGCAGTCGCCCGACAGACTGTCAACTCACCAGTCGAGCAAACGCTCTGCGACGTGACGCCATCGATGCTCGAGGTGAAGACAACTCGACTACCGGGCAACGAGAGGCAGACAACTCACCAGTCGAGCAATCGCTCTGCGATATCGATGCTCGAGGAGAAGACATTGCTTTGCAAAACGCAGACTCAAGAGTTGCATAGAATTTACTTAGTGCCGACTGATATTAGTTGTAAGCCAACTCACCACCTGAGTAGTCTACCAGCCGACAGCCACGTTCCATCTGCTGAGATACAACAATCGTGTTGGAGCCATGATGGGTGTCATGGACCTGGTAGCAGTCCAGGCACTTCCACTCAAACGTTACGTCCTGTTTTTTTATTAGCCTGTACTGTTCCCTTGTCATTACCACATCTGAATCATTAAAACATTTGCAATGAAACCAATTTCGACAGACGTCACAGATGAGTCCCTCCTACTTCATGGAAACGTTGTCGTCAAATCTCTTGCACATATTTGGAGTAGTCATCTTGAATTCTTGCGTAGTTTTTGTGGAGTTAATATACCGTTAGTCGTCCTCGTTTCAGTATAAAACTGTGATGAAAACGACCTCGGCTAATGAGTATTTACGTTTGTAAGGTGTCAGGCCGGCGATAATGAGGCTTCAAACTCGGCGATAACCGAGCAGTAATCTCGGCGCGCGGCTTCATTATCACCGATCTGACACCTTATCTAATCTCCGTGCATGGATATCACTTCACTCAGGCCATCATAAATAGGCTTACCATAAATCTGAAACAAAAAACCGGGACGGTGCGATTTGACAAACATTCGGTCAATTGCCAGTCTTGATAATATTGGAACGTCTACCATGCCATTGCGGGTATATACGACTGTAAATCTCTACTGATCATTGAATTAGAAAAAACACAAAAAATTAGTTTGTATTATTCATTTAGACCAAAAGTATTTGTCCGCAGATGGAACCTTTCTCAAAAATTCTTGTTTTGATTTTGTCATAAAACTGATAACAAGAGACATCACCATTAAATTTGCATGTTACGGAGTGGTTTTATATTTTCTTCTGGCATTCTGCACCTGCTTTCGGACCAAAATTTTTTAACAATGGAAAAAATCCTTTTAACAGATGCCGATGTTCCAAAAAACAAAATCAACCAATTTGCTGCAAATTCGAAATGCTAATATTTCTGTTAGAAAAAACGTTAAACATCTCTGTCCACATAATTTCAACCGGCAAAGTAAGTCAAATTGCATTTGAACCATTCTCAGATAAATATCTCTTTATCAGTATTCGTCGAAAAGTGCATCGCTATTCAAAACCTGATCAGCTAACCAACATATCATTTATCAATTTTGCAAACCAAACACTTCAGTCCAGTTCATTTCACTCTTCAAATTTGTCCATATGTGTGTCCTGGCAGCATTGTAGGCTTCATCGTGCAGCTCTATATACGATAGACATTTCTCGTAAAAATCGCAAACATTCTTTTTAAATACAAATTTTTTCCCTGCAAATTTAGCTTCACCTCTGACAGAATATTTGCAACATCTACGGCAAGGGTCGGCAACCTTTTGTCGCCCGCGGGCCAAAATTAAGGGTTGCGAGTCATTGGCGGGCCGCACATATTTTTAGAAAATTGAAACTGAACGGATGATACTTTTTATATTAAAAATCAAGCAGTGATACATCTCTCGAATAGAATATAGATTTATTTCCTCATTGCATCTCAAAAAATTCCATTTGAATATTTTCAGCGCCATTGAACCCTTTGCACTTAGCATCAACTTTTCTGCGTTTTGTTGCCATTCGAGCTTTAAGTAAATCATCATTAAATTCAGAGGATAACAGCGGAGCAATGCACAAACTCTCATTTATTTCTGGCTAAACGTGCAAAATCAGCGAATCTGCTTATCAGACAGCGGACATCAGAAATTCTAACTGTGTATATTTACAAGTTAATGCAAATTTAGCCTCAAAAAAAATTTGAAATTAATTTAGAAGTGCAGTCAAAACTTTGGTCATGAATAGCAGTGTGATAGGTAAATGTCGGCTGCCAACGACACAGAATCATCCGAATTTGTTATCGCAAAATTGGTCACTCGAGTCGATGCCTCAATGTTCTGTGCTTCCTGCTTTGGATATGATCGTTGACATCTGAACGTCCGCCATGACTAATAGAAAAACAGATCTGCAATGCGTACAGTGTATCTTTCTTCCTTCAGTTTGTTTCAAATAAGGAAAATCTTTCTTCAACTCATCAGAAAATTTGTACTTTATTTTTGGCATTTCGACTTAACGACATTGCAGTTATCGCCAGAAAACGCATTAAAACATATACCAATTATGACATAACAATAGAGCGATTTCTCTCTCTGAACTAGCAGAGTGTGTCGCAAAACAGTGGTAAATGGGTATCACCGTTAAAAAAAAATTTGTAATAATAATGAATTTGAATTTTTTACCCATGAAAACCGTGCTGAAAAACCGGGACATTTGAGTCAACCGGCCGGGACGCCGGGACAGCTTGTCAAATCCGGGACTGTCCCGGCTAAACCGGGACGTATGGTAAGCCTAATCATAAAGAATGTGCGTCACAATAATTTGCCTCGCCTATACAACAAGTGAGTGGTTAACCATATTTATATATGTCTTTGTACATCTTTCACTTCTTTTGTATTAACATGTTTTTGTTTTAGGGACGCTGGAACAAGAGACCTGATCAAGCATGTCATGGTGCTGTGCTATATACCAGCTATGTTTATTACGTCCAGATTCAAATCACTGAAAGAAAAGATGCAAACTCAAGATCTCAAGAACTTCGCCGAATATTTTCAAAACACATGGCTATACAACAGTGTTTGGACTCCCAATGATTGGTCAGTATTCGACGTAGAAATAAGAACCAACAATCATCTGGAAGGTTGGCACCGCCATTTTAACAGTATAACTCGGAAAAACATGCCTTTTTACAGTTTAATCTCAACAATGTACGAGGTAATTATAGGGATAGAGGCGGACGTTGTGGAGATTTTGGAAGAGAATGTTGTGGGGCGTGTCAACGGCAGGTATGCGGAAGCCAACGAGAGGGTGCAACGTGTCTGGGAACAATTTAAGAAAGGAGAGTTATCTGTGGACTCTCTTCTTCGAAGGTGTTCAAGGATCTACGGGCGCAGTATTGCAAAGAGTAAGTATGTAACGCAGCAAATTTCCCATAACGTTTAGTATTCAAATAAAATTCATTATACGTAACGAAAAAGAAAACAAAACCTTCCATCCATTGAATTTCCCCATAACGTTTAGTATTCAAATATCACATTAAATTCATTAATCGTAACAAAAAGTAAACATCTTTTATCCATTCTTCGGCCCAGTTTCTTTGCCAGGCGCAGCGACAGTGCCTATCTGTTCCTGGTTTTCTTCTGCAAAAAGAAATTCCAACTCTATGACTGAAACCTTGCCGTGGTGAGTTGGCTTACAACTAATATCAGTCGGCACTAAGTAAATGCTATGCAACTCTTGAGTCTGAGTTTTGCAAAGCAATGTCTTCTCCTCGAGCATCGATATCGCAGAGCGATTGCTCGACTGGTGAGTTGTCTGCCTCTCGTTGCTCGGTAGTCGAGTTGTCTTCACCTCGAGCATCGATGACGTCGCAGAGCGTTTGCTCGACTGGTGAGTTGACGGCCTGTCGGGCGACTGCCATAGGCGCGTTTAGACTACTGCAACCATAGACTACCGAGCTCACGTTCATAAATATTTAAGTGTTACTGTGAAGTATAAAGGTTTTAATATATTAAAGGTGCTCATTCAAAACATTTAATACCAATAAAGTTTAAAAAAATTAACGAACACAGTCCTATAAATCAACAGTCTAACTTCGCTAACGTTACTCCAATTTCGTCTGTAGACTGTATTTCTATTCATACAACATGATCAAAATAAGCCACTTATACAAATAAAAATGCTTTCTAGAGCATATTTATGTATTTTTCTCAACATTTGAGCACTAAAAATATCAAAAACGCATTTCTATAGACCTAAAACATCACCGTAGAAAATGCCAAAAGACGGACAACTCACCAGGCCTCTAGGTAGTCGAGTTGTCTCTGGTGAGTTGTCCGTGTAGTCCGCCTCCCCTTTGGTCTACATCTCTGTGGTTCGATCAGGTGATCTTTAGAAGCATGGCCCGTACTGTATTTTCTTGACTATCTATCTGTACCTAGTATGTGGATTGCTCAGCCATAGCGAAATTCCATCTGTCTATACCTGTATACTGCTAAACCAGTATGACATGCCGAATTTTTTTAATATATTTACCGTAGGCTACCGTACAATACAGCGTTTAGAATAGGGATACAGGTTCTGAATTTACTTTTTAATACTACCGGTACCGTACATACCGGTATGCACATCACTTTTGCTGGATCGTTTTTTGAAAATCCAAACGCAGACCCCCCACAATTCTATGAAAATAGAATTCATTGCAGCATTAAAATAGGTGATAAACCACCAGTAAAAACTCAGTGGTACCGGTACTGTAACATTTCTTTGTCGTGCCTTATTAAATTTGACTTGATAACTTGTTATTTATTAACTCAGTAACTGTACTTTTTACAGATAAAAGTTATTGTCATTGGGTTTATACTTTTTTACTAGGCTAGACCTACTGCACTAGCATGTCTGCCTGTAGACTGCTGAGACTGGTAGATGAGGATAATAAATCTGTCGTCTGGTCATTGGATGATGATGATGATACACTGAACATGTTATTTTAAAATTAATAAAGGTGCATATTCTATTTATACAGGTTATAATGATTTATTATGCAAATTATACTTATTGTTATTAAACTAAATCAAAAACTGAAAAAATTGAATTTTTATAATCCCTTAACTTTTTAGTTGTGATATAAATTAAAGCAGAGAAAATCATTTTTTGTGTATAATTTGACAACCTGCTATAAATCATGAAGTATATGTAATAAAAATTTTCGTTTAGATTTTGTTTCGACAGCCAAGGCTGTACATAAATACATAACTAATTATACCCTGAATTATTATTTTTTTTCTTGTTATCTTAGTATTCATCCATAGGTAAAGAATATTGTATATAAATTTGATATACCGGTAATACAGCCTCTCAAAAATAATTATTGTAGTCTTAAAACTGAAATTATCATACATAGCCTACAATATGACTAAATCAGTATTAGATTCTGCAAAATTTATTTGAAATAAAATTGAAAATTAAGATCAAGTTAATGATATTAGAAATGTGTATTGGTAAAAGTTATGAAATTGCTATTTATCTCGGTTTATTTTGCTTTTTTTACTTGGAATTTTTTTTTTAGCCTAGTCAACTTTCTGCAAATGAATCTCTACTTGCTAAGATTCGTCATTGTTCTTGAGTAGAAATAATATTATATATCAGTACTCCTTTTTTTTCACAATATTATGATTTGTGTCAACGTGACTTCATGAAAAAATGTGATAGTTGTTTTACTAATAAAACAGATTGACAATTTTTTTCAAAATTTATTATAACCTACTAGATAATTCCTACATGACACTTCACCACATATTCTAATAAATTGACAACTCGATCAGATGCTGTTTGTCAAGTTTTTCTATTGACATTTGTCGATTTACTCTGAATATCTTCGTATATTTAGCATAGAATAGTGGTATTTTTTTCAGGTTCATATTTTACTATTTCATCAGAGAATTTTCCATGAATCATATTTGAGGAAAATACTAAATTGAATATTAGTTGAATGTTGAGCCAAATTCGTATTTTACAGTTATTAGACCCTGCAGTCAGGCTATTCATGAGCTAATCGTAATATGTCAAAAGCTTAAATCGGTAACCATGCTAAATGTAAAAATTACCATAAGTATTAAACAGTATTTCAGCGAAGAACAAAATTTGAGCTTTTTGGCCTGTCTGCTTCACAAAATGGAAGTTGCAACATTTTATTGCTTGGAATCGGGAAATGCTTTCAGTAACTTCAAAAGTAAAACCAAGTATTTAACTACTCGGAATACATTCTGAGAAAATATATTCAAATATGGAATATCGAATACATTATAAATTGGGGCAAATTTATGCGGAAAATTACATAAAGGTTACTGTTTTCTCTTTGTTGTTTGTTACCAGTTGAGATATCATATGTTTAGATCTGCTTGTCTGACGGCTCAAAATCTCTAATTTTTTATAAGAAAATTACTAAATCAACTATATTGAGTATAATAAATTTCGAATGAATCAAATATTCGATTCGTTTTGGACATTTCTAAATGCGTGTATAATACATTATACCACTGCTACTCTTTTATTCAAGGATTAAAGTTCTAATTGTTTTAAATTTTTGTTACTTTGGAATTGGCACATATAATCCCAACTGATCCAAAGATGATTCTGATTCTCTCTACTAATCTGAATTTTTCAAGTCTATTCATAATTTTTCTGATGAATGCCATATTATTTGAATATTTTGTTTCTTGTTTCAGTCATATGGTAAGTATAATAGAGGGTAATTGACAAGCTATACAAAATCAATTCAGATACATTGTCCTTTTGGTTAAAATAATATTATCAGATGCTACTATCAGGAGAAATTTAAATACTTACTTTCACTAAACCTAGTTAATACCTATCTTTATATTTCATGCAGTGTACACCTGCTTGCAGCATGCATTGCATCACGCGTACAGCACGGTCAAATTCTTGACACGAAAGCAAAAGAAATGGCCTATATGATACCAAGTCTAAAAACTGTATGCGGTTGATAGCAATCGGCCATTGTTCAAATGAACTGTAAATTGAAAATACAACATGGACTATATTAGAATAAATGGCCATGAACTTTAATCAGACATTTTATGTCATTTTTAGTAGTAGGTTAGATATCACAAATGATGCCACAAACACGGCAAAGTAAGAGAAGGTCAGCGCCTTCCAAAACATCCCCACCTAAGCGTCGGAAAAGTACACCTGCCGAAGAAATCAAGGATGTATCACCGATAAAAGATGAAGAATACCAGGATAATAATGATCCAGATGATGACGATATCCTGGAGAGTGATGGCGAAGAGGAGATTATTGAAGAAGAGATTGATCAGGAGCCGGATGATGAGCCTGCAGTTGATTCCAGGGACAATGATTCTCCTCAACATGATCAGGACATTGATCTTAACCTTGAACATGATGGAGAAAATAATGAAGACAATGGAAATGAAGATTTTGATACTCGAAGCGAAGCTACATCAGACTCTGGGCGTTCAGCGGGGGCTGAAAATGATGACGAACCTCTATATGATGACGACTATGAAAAAGAAACATATGATGATAGACGTAGCAGTGATGATAGAGATAGCCGTGGTATTTCACCAATTGTTTTTAATCGTTCGGATACTTCAGATGAGGAAGAAGATGTTGCCCCACCAGGCGAGAGTGAAGAGGAAAAGCCTAAAAAGAGCATAGTCATTCCACCAGCTGAAATTCGTACTCAGCGCCGAGATAGACATAGTAAAATGTTAAAGTATCTATTTCGAGATGCTAGATTTTTTGTTATTAAAAGCAATAATCATGAAAATGTTTCACTTGCTAAAGCAAAAGGGGTGTGGTCGACACCGCCGAGCAATGAACACAAGCTGACTAAGGCTTTCAAAGAAAGCAGAAATGTCATTCTCATTTTCTCTGTTCGAGAAAGTGGTGCCTTCCAAGGTTTCGCTCGTATTTCCACTGAAGCAAGACATGATTACGGACCCATTCATTGGGTTTTACCAGCTGGTTTGAGTGCGAGAGCACTTGGAGGTGTTTTCAAAATTGATTGGATGTGTCGCAGAGAACTTTCTTTTATCAAGACTGGTGATATACGTAACCCATTTAATGATAACAAACCAGTAAAAATCGGCAGAGATGGACAAGAAGTTGAACCCAACGCAGGAAAAGTTTTGTGTTTAGAATTTCCTCATGATGATGGAGTAGATTTAGAATCGATTATACACAGAGTAAGAAAGAGGGAAAAGGAAATGGGCAATGTACGTTATGAAGTTCCTCGTTATCCAGTTCCTGATAATGGCCCTAGGAGTAGAGCTGCTAGAAGTGGACGAGGCAAAGATTTTAACAGAGGTCCAAGAACTTTTCCAAGGCGGGATGATGGTGGGGGAAGAGATCCACGCTCCTATTCAAAAGATAATTATTCTCCTCGTTTTAAAGACTCCAGAAGTCGCGGAAGATTTCAGGGAAGAAGGAATCAACATAATGATGGAGGTTATCAATATTTTCGCAATTTTTCTTCTGATCATGTCAGAAATGAATACGAGCAGCCGGCTAGTTCCTACCCTAGCCTTATGTCAACATTCACAAGCTATCAATCTTCTAATTATCAAGATGTTCCGCCGTTGATGCAGCAATATGTACAAAGCCCATACCAAACATCGAATAAACCTTCCTCAGCTGTTATAAGCAAGTACAGTGACGGTTCTCGAATTTCCTCGCGTACCAATGACTCTAGTTTAAAAAGCAGTTCTTCGATATCTAGAAGTTATGATTCTCGAGCACATGCTGCAGCTTGTGATGATTTTGTGCGTCGTGTTGCAGCGGGAAGAAGTGGAGCCGTGGCATCATCATCAAGTCGTTCAAACGATCGGTCACAAGGACGTGAGCACACAAGCCGATCCTCAAGATCTGAGAGAGAAAACAGACATAGCAGAAGGTAGAGATTATCACAAATTGTCCAAGTATTTCTGGACAAGGGGATGCCAACATTCGTGATTTTCTGATTGATTTTAACTGTTTTATATCACGGCATAAATTCAATCGACCAATGTTGTACCATATTGGGAATGTTACTCATCATGATTGCAAGTATATTCCCAACCCCCACTTGTGTGATGTAATTTCTTTCAGCTAGACTAAATTGCAGATTTACAGGCAGCAGGAAAAACTTGGCTACCAATATCTGACAAACGTTCATGCTTAAACGAGTAAACTATTTCGTGCTATATGTACCATGTTTATATTGGCTATCAAATACAAATCAAAATTTTACATGGAGAAGTCATTCTATGAAGAACATTGCAACATTCTCATGATATTTTATAAGTATTTGCTCTTGAAATTGTAACATTTGGGCCTCTCACTTGATTCTCATTAATCTATAGTAAATTTTAATACCCATTGCATATTATACTTTTTCTAAAGTATCCAGTTATTAAAGGTATACACAACTGAATGTATTCATACACCATCACTATTTTGAACCCTAAATTTTGTCGAATTGAATTCATAAATTGTTAATGTTGCTCGGAGATATTGTCTTAAATTCAACCTAATGATTTTCCTATATTCATACATAACTGAATCAGAATCTGTATAATGTCTAACAAACTCCTGCTCCACCTGGATGTAGGTACCTGTGATGTAGGTATTAATTTTTTGCCTCGTTCATATGCAAAGCGGCATTTTTTGCATACCTATTTTATCTTATTAACCCTAGGAAAATAATGAATCGAAATCGTTTATTTTATTTCGGATCTCAAATGCAGAAGACTATTCCGTCAGCCAAGTTTTCACTGCCTGCCAGTTTATTTAACAAAACTCTCCTGTACTTGCTTTGCAACTTTGCATGAAGATTTTTTTGACAACATGCTCTCCTAAATTGGGACTAGTAGCTTACTCAAAATGGGGATCTTGAACTGTTAGTAGTGAACAATTTTGAATCTTGCTTCGCGTTTTTTTAGATAACATTTGTTTTAACCATGTTATGACTTTGTGTATTCACACATTTCGCAAATCATTGCCGAAAATTTAGTGTCGTCGGTTACATCGATTGGTCATTTTTATACTGTACTGCCGATACTTGTTAAATACATTTGTAAAATTTGTGAAAAGATTTTCATGTTCCGGTGTGGTAAGTGGTCTGGCCGTAAGGATTCCATCGCTTGTGAACTTCGCCCGGGAAATTTACACCAGCAGATTTTTTCAGCCAAACGCAAATTGGAAGCACGGACGTTTGCACCGTGGGAGCAGATGCCCACAGTTGCGAAATTCCTAGGATATATATATATAATATATATTGCAAATCAAGTCTCTTGGACCACCGCGCTGTGTTGTCACTCATTTTTTTGAACCAAACAGCAAAAACGTATAGATAATTGCACTTACAGATATACACACTCCATCAGAGTAATGTGTAAACAAAAAAATTGAGAATGCGAGATAACGCTGAGCAGGTCGTTTTCAACTCTTATGCTCCATTTTTCTGTTGTCTCGTCATCTACATCAGGGGTGGCCGAGAATCCCAGCGCAGTAATTTCGTTCTGCCGCGCACTGCATAAGTATTGACAATTCTGTGTTCGTTTAAAATGTTGTTCTTTTCTATTTTTCCTAATTCTCCGCGCATACCTTTTTTTGGAGCTCACATGGCCTTCTATTCCGCGCAACTAATCAAGCTCTTAGACTTTAGAGCAGGGGTCGGGAACCCATGGCTCGCGAGCCATATATGGCTCTTTTGGTGACGGCATATGGCTTCCAGAAAAATCTATTATTCTAAGATTAAGCTTACTATTGTTACTAGACTTCAAGCTATTTTATGGCCAAATTTGGCAAAAAATTCCCAATACATTTGACAACGCGGGCCCAGCGCATGTCTTTGTAATGTAAGAGAATTACCAGACAGGCATTGTGACAAAACATGGGGATTCTGGAACATATATTGTGACCTCACAAAGCGATAGAGTTTTAAAATACTACCGAGATGCCTAAACGAAAAAGGGTGATGATTATCGTAGATTTCAACTTGGGCTGCATGTGAGCAACCGTTCAAGGCCCGCAGCGACAACATGCAGCATCAGAAGTCACATTAAATGTATATTGACATGAAATGTGTTGAAACTTTGAAACATGAAAACTTTTGAGTAAACGTTTCAGGCCTGATTAAGTGAAGAAATCTTATATGGCTCGCATGGAAATGCAATTGAAAATAGGTATATTTTAGGGCTCTCTTGACCAAAAAGGTTCCCGACCCCTGCTTTAGAGGAAGCGTTGCACCAGTTAGAGACCAATAGCCGCATTTCGTACAACTTAGAGGGAACGTTGCACCAGTCAGAGACCATGAGCCGCATTATAAACCAGAACACATATGAAAAAATTGCTTTCATCTTTAATTACTGAACCAATTGCTTTGGTTGCCAATTTGTAGTGGTCAAGGTTGTACTTTTCGCTCAAGGGCTACTTATATATATATCAACAATCGTTCAATTCACGTTGAAACTGAATCATGAACAATGGATAGTCGTTACAGGACCGTTGGCTGCCTCCCGATAAAGCTACTGGTAAGTTTCCGCAAAGGAATTGGAATTAATGATAAAATATTTAGTTTTTCTTCCGTTCCCACATATATTTAAGATGAGTAATTATAAGTTTTTCACTCCACAATCTGTGCAATGAAATAAATGATGGAAACAAAATAAATAATACTGATTAAAGAATCCTAAACCTTAATCAAAATCAGAAAAAAAACGGCTAGATTCTATTTTAGCTTGATGTTTTTAAAGAGAGAATTCAGGGTGAATATTTAACACTATATGGCAAGTTAGTAATAGTAGTATACGATACTAGGATACCAAAGAAGTACCAATACTGGTAGCTATAAAGAAAGAAGTACTTCATGAATAGACAAATGGATATTTACCGATAAAAATATTTAATTACCCCGGTCGTAACAATCGCTTCCGTTCAAAACAACCTAATTTGCCCTCATACTCAACGACTGCTCATACTAGACTATTTTAATAATATATATAATTTGCTATACGACGTTAATTAAAATTACGTAATAAAAAATATATGGCCTATATCTTCATAGAATCTTTAATATACGCGACGGTGTGGCTCAACGGGCTAAGCGTTAGGAATACGCTCGCCACCGCACCTCTAATTACTCTGCGTGGGTTCGCAGGTTCGAATCCCATGTAGGGTTATGTGCGAGAGGATTGCTGGACTCCTCGCCGCCGTTGGGTGGTTCACGTAACCGCTTGTCGGTTACGGCTTCCTCCACCATCAAGTCCATGCTTTCGAAAACAATATAACTAAGTATATGCTTTGCGTATTAATAAGAAAAACAAAACGGAAATGGGTCCAATTTGTGTGTGATATTCATTGGATACGTTTGGTAAAACTTTGGTTCTAAAACATAAAATATTGTAATTAGCGCGTTACCATATATTTATAGGCTTACCATACGTCTCGTTTTATGCGGGACAGTCCCCCTTTTTAACGTCTTGTCCCGGCGTCCGACCTAACGTTACTTTCCTTTCTGCATCTTGCTGATTGGCCAATGTCACGAAGTAAACAAGGAAGTCGATGCTCGGGGAAAGGTCCCTATTCTCTGGTACAGAATTTAATATTCAAGACTTCAGAAATGTAGAATTTATATTGTTGGATGGATTTCCCAACTTTTGGGAATCTATTGTGTTGCGTTGACAAAAATATTTGTCCGGCCCGTTTCAACTCAGTTTGAGTCATACCTGGCCCGCGGTCAAAAAAGTTTGGTGATCCCTAGTTTAGTTTAGCCGAATAATTGACCTTTGACTCATGCAAAGGTGCAAACACATCCCCAGCGTCGTTTGATCGTATCACTGTATTAGTACAGTAGTATTACCGGTATTAGTATTTATTTACGTATGTATGTAACTATTACGTATGTAACTATGTTCTATGATTATTATTTTTTCATCATTTATTTATTTTTACAAAACTGTTATGAATCCACAACGTGGACCTTTAAAAAAAAAAAAAAAAAAGTATTTATTTACGGTTTGATAGTCGGGACTCTTGAGCATAGACCATGCTCCGAGTCAGTCAAAGCATAAGTTGGGATGTTCTATTTGAATAATTTTACACTTGTACATTCAAGTTTTCTCAAATAGGACAATATTGTGTTAGTTGTACACAGAGAATGTTGGTTTTAACGCGCTTCCGGTAGATTTGCACACGATATCAGGCGGTGTGACTCGTTCACTGATTCCATGCCGTGACTTCGGAGTTTGCACGCCGTTCTCTGGTGCTTGTTATGTGGCAGGCATAGTACCGTACCCTATGTATTGATCGTAGCATCCGCCATCCAGTCGTGGTTCTTGCATAGTTTCGTACCGTACCGGTACTTGACACTGACCTCTGTTGTGAGTTGTTTGTGTAGCTGAGTTGTCCGTCTCCCCTTGCAGTGGGCGTAGCATAACAAATTTTTTACATGACAATCCTAACCCCTACCTGACTATGCCATCCAAAGTTACGCCATCTCCGCCAAAAAATTTTCTCTACGACGTCACAATCACGTCATAGAGCTTGCCAAAGTTAAAGTATAACTATGATCGCCCAAAATGGCATCTGCGCTCATAATAAAGAACTGACAAGTGGCTTGCGATCTCTCTCATATCGGGATCGTTGCGACAAAAAAATAAGAGAAATCGCTTGCTCGATTTTGGATGTTGTCTGTGCGTCTTGGATGACGATTCGTATAGTTTGATGGGCTCTAATACGTCACTGTGATGTCCAGAAAGATTGCCACACCGCCAAGCTTGTTAGCTTAGGCTACTTGATCGAAAAACTGGCTAAACTATTTATTAAAAAAGGCCTGTGATTGTATGAGGAAAATAGTTTTTATATATAATGCATGTAATATAAAAGGCCTATATTTTAAACGACTTCATACTTTAGTTTTTTCTTGATGATAGGTACTCAAATTCTTTTACAATCTGATTATTGGTGATCATAAATTAAATGTAAATCGGAATACTAGTACTATCATATTTGTGGAAGTGCCAATGCATTGGCAATGCTGCTATTCTGTACATCATTTTCAAATATGGCCAACTTACAACAAGTCGTTTGTTTTTTTTTCAGAAAAATTTAGAATAAAGAAATTTAGCAAAATGGAGGAAGTAACAAAGCATTCTGTACATACATTAGTCTTCCGTTCTTTGAAACGTTCACATGATATGTTTGTTTCTGATCATGCTGCACCATTGCCAGTCAATGAAATAGCTGCAGCAATACGCCGAAACACGAAGATGCGAAATGAATATGGCCCCGTATTACACATGCCAACTGCGAAGGATATTAAACAGGCATCACAGGTACAGCAGCAAGATAAACAAAATACACAGCAACACAACCAGATGGATAACGAAGTAAAAGCATCAAAACTTGGAGCACAACATATACCAATTGAGGACTCAAGTAGCCAAGCGTTGGTTGCTGTTAATCAAAACACCAAAGCATTGGCTACAATGAAAAAAGCGTCAATAATGCCGAAACCTAAATGGCATCCACCTTGGAAACTTTATAGAGTCATAAGTGGCCATCTTGGATGGGTTCGGTGTGTTGCCTTTGAACCAGGAAATGAATGGTTTGTTACAGGGTCAAACGATCGTACTATTAAAATTTGGGACTTAGCAAGCTGCAAATTGAAGCTTTCTCTCACTGGGCATATAAGCACTGTTAGAGGACTGGCAGTTAGTTCGAGGAATCCATATTTGTTTTCATGTGGAGAGGATAAACTGGTAAAATGCTGGGATCTAGAACAGAATAAAGTTGTTCGTCACTACCACGGACATTTAAGTGCCTGCTACGCCATTGACTTACATCCAACTATTGATATTTTGGTCACTTGCGGACGAGACTCCTCTGCAAGAGTATGGGATATGCGAACAAAATCAAATATCATGACTCTTGCTGGACATTCTAACACTGTTGCAGATGTAAAATGCCAAAGTGTTGAACCCCAGGTTATCACAGCATCTCATGATTGTACTGTCAGGCTGTGGGATCTTGCTGCTGGAAAAACAAGGGCAGTGCTTACAAATCATAAAAAAAGTGTACGGTCAATAGCACTTCACCCTAGACAATACACATTTGCAAGTGCTTCTCCTGACAACATCAAACAATGGAAATTTCCAGATGGGAATTTCATACAAAATCTTTCTGGCCATAATGCCATAGTAAACTGTTTAGCTCTCAATTCAGATGGAGTTTTGGTGTCTGGTGCTGATAATGGAACTCTTCATATGTGGGACTGGAGGACAGGACATAATTTTCAGAGAACAAAAGCCCCTGTTCAGCCTGGATCTTTGGATAGTGAAAGTGGAATTTATGCTGCTGCGTTTGACCGTAGTGAGAGTCGCTTGGTAACTTGTGAGGCTGACAAGACAATAAAAATATATAAAGAAGATGATGAAGCCTCTGAAGAAACACATCCAGTTCAATGGAAACCAGAAATAATCAGAAAGAAGAGGTTTTGAAAGTACCTTACCACCCTTAACTCCAGTTTTATATCAAAAGTTTGGATAAATAGAAATTATTCGAACATCTTATTGTATCGTTATTGTATCGGTATCAAATATCAATCATATGCACCAACCAATCTGTAAGCATTGCATTGGAGATTTGCAGAGGAGGAGATACACCCTTATTTGTTCGGATACCATATTCCCATTCAGGTTCATGCTACTAGAACAATAACTATTATCATACCCAGCTTGGACTGGTAATCTGACAAGAGACCTGGTTTGTCATGTGGACTTGTTCGTCATAATTTTTCAACTTTCTTATCCTGCAGAATAAATTGAAAAAATCTTCATTTGTTCATGACTTATCTAGCAATGTCCGCATGATTTTATTTCAGGAATCAGTTCAAATCAACTTTTAGCTGCGAGTTTAGAAGTTCAGATCTAGATATGAATAAAATTCTGCCATTCCTCAGGCTTACTATGAATTTCGACCTCTTTGCATTTGCATTTCTAAAAGTATAGATAGATACTATTGTCCGAATTCAGAAAAAAATTTCATCTAGAACGTCTTATCAGAGAATTTAGAATATTCAGTTGGTGAATTTATTTAATTCGTTACGAACATGGTCAACGTTGCTTGTTAGCGTGTGCATAGTTTACAATTTAAAATCGCTGATTACTACCGCGTTTCCCCGAAAATAGGACTCAACAAACAAGGGTCCTATTTCAATTTTCTTTGGCACTAGATAGAGCTTATTTTGGGGGATGTCATTTATTTTCATTTATCAAAAACAAAATTACAAGAAGAGAATTACGAGAGTTTTAAGTATACAAAATATGAAAACCGATATTCATTACTGGTGTTTATAAATAACATGTTTTTAATTGAAATTTTTACACATTTTGTCCTGCTGGCAGTCCATGTATTATGAGATTAGTTGGCCAGCTGTTTTTCAGGTGTATTGACTCAATTTGATTGCTTTATTGACTAATTCGGATTCAAGGATGGGAAATGAATCCAAGGAAGCCCCAATCGAGCAGTGAGTCATATGAACTACCCTTCGACAAGTTGAGTGATAGCAAGTCTTAACATTTAGAAAAACAAAATGCGTATTATGAGCGGAGGGAACAAAATCAATATAAAAGTTCAAAGCTAATCAGAAATTGCGTCCACAACTTCACAAATTTAAAAAACAAATAGGGCCCGTCTTCTAGTGGGTGCCAGATAGTGAGATTGTTGCGATATCCATAGAAAATACGGATATACCGAAAATAGACAGAAAAGTAACAAACCCAAATTCTAAAACGGAGATTTAATACGCTGCCGACTTTGCTAGATTACGGTACCTTACATACATAAACAATCAAACCAAACTCATTCAAAATATTAAAAGTAGAAAAACGGGAAAATGTTGGTAATAGGCTATATGTCTAGTTTAGTGCCGTGTTTTACTTGAATGTCAAGCCAAAATACAGTAGTAGCATAGTTACCTCATGATGAATCATTATGAGGTAACCATGGTAGTAGTAAGCGACTGCGACCATGACATCGTAGAACCTAAGAATGCTCTTGTGACATCATAGTTCCCAGCAATAAATATAATAATAATAAAGTTACGTTACAAAGTCTTCCGTTCCGTCGGTTCAGTCGACGAGCAATGGCGGCGGGACCGGTGTCCGGACAAGACTTTTCTCAAGAATTGTCAGAAGTCCCGGTCTTTATATATGTTGCTAGTTGCTGCTTGATAACTATCAGTGTGATCGTTGCATCTTGGCTCGCATACAAGAGAGATTGCAAGCAGTTTTGGGTAAGTATCGAGCGGTAGAAGTAACTTATTACTTAAGTTGGTCAATGACCTTTATTTCCGAATGAGGGAAACTAAAATAGCTATAGGCCTAGTGTGTATCATAATTTGTGCTTTCTGATTAAACTATTTAAATGAACACTTATTTAAATGTTGAAGAATAAAGTGACCACCGCTGATTACACAAAAGAAAGAATAGTTATAGGACGGTGATTCACGGATATCTTTCGCCCTCCTCAAAAACGATTAAATGATTAGCTATTACCAAGCCTGATCCATGCTAGCAAATGGCTGAGAACCGATATTCGCAATAAAATTTTAAGCAGTACGATACACCAGATGTTTATTCATGTTTAACCCGAATATGCTTATCCAACAAAATATATTTTACAGCACCATGCTGTGCGCTTACCTTCTCGCATGCCACAACCGTATTGGTATATGATTTCGATTTCCACGGGATGTCGACCCTGGGCAGGACATGAAGGAGATATTTTTCTTCGTATGGTTGGTATGTGAAATTGTAATAATTCCAATATTGTTACGCTGCCTGTTTTTTTTTGGTCATGTTTTCCACATTACTAACATATATTTATCGTGTGAAAAGTAAATGAGGGGTATTATGTCCCCTTCCCTCATTTATAGAAAAGATATAAAGTTAAATAAATTATAATTGCATTAAGAAACATCAGATAATCTTACCTCTAGCACCTCTTTTTTGCTGTGCAGTGATTGCAAATTTACGTAAACTAATTATTGGCGATGCCTTCAATTAACTTCCCATGTACTTTTGTATAGTAGGTCTATATCTGGAAATATATAGTAGCATATTCGAATTGTGTCAACATGCGACTGTCTGGCTTCGGGTCATGCCGTTTTCAATTTGTATAAGACGCCACGATTTGTGGCAATCAAGCGATTTTAGTTTTAAAGTAAAAGCTGGAATGCCTTTCTACATTAGTGATAGCTCAGAGTCAGTCTAGTGAGAAGGTACTTAACTTTATTTATGTATCAACTATTTTGCATTCCATCAGGTTCACGAGCAGATAGTCGGACGTTTATAGTCAATGGCGAGGTTCATTCTCGACTGTGGGAAGCCGATTCGCATCTTTATCTCTATTCATCATCGTGGCCTCTAGGAGAAATTAATTATGTTATTGTTGCATGTCGGTCTGCCAGCCGTAAAAAACGGTGGTATTTGAGCAGCGTGCAAGTAAAATTTGTTTCATTGGATCCCGAAAAAGAGAAGGTGGGTGCGAAGGTTCCATTACATTTGAACCCACGTACATTTGAACCCATGACAATTGCACCTGTATGCTATTGCACCTATGGAATTTTTTTTTGTTTCACGGATAGTTAAACCCATACAAACCCTAACCCATGGGTTTTAGCACCCGCATATAGATTGAACCTGTGGATATACGCATGGGTTCAAATGTACATGGGTTCAAATGTACGGTCACCGTGTGCGAAAAATACCGTTCACGTTTTCCACTCTTACTCTATGTTTATATTTATAAATTCAAATTTGAGTCGAAAAGGTCCGAACTGTATATTGATATAAAATATATGGTATATAGTCCATTATTGGAAAAATGATATGTAATTCGTATGTTTCATTTGTATAGTGCAGTTGTAGTTGCACACCCCTGCACTATACAAATGCGGTCCACAAGTAAAACTTGTGCGACCCGCGGAGAAGCGTCACTTCTAAATGGTGGGCGGCCAGCGACACGAGTTTTCTAATTTAATCCAGTATGTGCGAGTAATCCTAATTCCTTTGCGTTGCAATGCCTATTTCTGAGCTTGTACAAAGCGAACAACGCATGTCACAGGATCAATAACCAAAAATTTTGTGTCTGCAAGTACTAGAAAGCATATTATCAAAGATTGCACACCCCTGGTATAGTGCGTTGACTTGTATATATAAAGATAAATCAAAAGCGAGTCTTGATTTATTTTAAATAATATTTAATCTGATCGTCTGAGTAGAACCATTCTGCTCCACTTACAGTTTGCTTATTTACAATTAATATATATTATGCACACAAATTCAATTTGTGAAAATAACTTGTTTATTTTGCTTTGCGTGATCATGATAAATTATCTCCCAAGGAATGGTATTTTCCATACCACGAATGGATCGAAGTATTTCACGATCCAGTGAAAGTTACACTTTGTAACGTGAATCACGATCACGATATCAACAGAAGATTGATGCTTGGATGGCTTGGTCGGTGTGTATCAGGTGAGTTAAATATTTGATTATCAACGTCAAAAACCTTTAGGCAAATGGGGACCAATATTGTGGCAACCTATGTGCAGTGCAGTGTTTCTCAACCTATGGGTCATGCCCAAAACTGGGTCGCCTGAAAAGTTCCATGACTTTTTTTTCTTTTTAAAAAACTCTGAAAGTTACTAATTTTATTTTATAGTGAATTTAATTTTATTGCTCAATAGTAATTGCATGTATGGGGAGTATCACTGCGTAAAAAATTGAAAAAGTGAAGCCACGCGTCGGTTCCAAAAACTCTGATAGAAAACACGCGCAGTTATCTCACTTTAAAGTAATTTTTAGAGAAATAAATGTTACAGAAAATTGATTGTTTCATATTATTTATATTATTCGTATAATTTTGGTCACGTTTAGTATTTGAGCATATCCTTCGTAAGATTTAACAAAATTCATTTTTTCTAATGTGGGTCGCGTAAAAAAATTGGGGGCCACTGGTTTAGTGTCATTACGTTTTTTCGCAGGTCCGACAGTTTATTTTTCACTGTATCACAAATTAGAATTGGCATAGTTTTTATTTTCACATTTGCAATTGTCCATGACGTGACATGCCCATGACAATTTTTTTTTCATTTTCTTGAAATTGTAGATTTTCATCTGTGGACCTCCATCTTCACACCTATCAAATATACAAGCTTTCGACGCAGCGACAGAATTGCATGTATATCTGCACAATTTGCTGGATCATTAATGTATATTGTCGTAATAAATGGCATGATTCCACAGTTGGGTGCTATTGTTTTGGGATTATTTGGTGCATCCTGTGCTATTGTTCCAGTTGCAACCGCGGAAGCCGTACTACGACGTGTAGAATGGAAGCGAAAGATTCTTTTGGAAGATGTTAGATGGTATAAAGGTGCGTTTTTAAAAAATCCTAGCATTATCTTAATGATCTAGATTTGTTATTGTAATAACTCAAAAAATTGTGCAATATAATTAATGACAGCGGCTGAAGAGGATGACGAGAGTCAAATCACAAAACCTAGGACTTATCGACAATACGTATTAAAACCATCGCATAAGAAAATGAACTACAACCTCATGTTTCAGGACGAAAATCCTCGTAAGTAATATTGATACGTTTATTAGGAGTTTAGTAAATACATATACAGGGAGGCCAAAACGTAGTAGTACGGATATCTAATCTTTCAGAGTACCGGTTCCATACCGTAGCCTTCCCGAGTTCGACTGATGACCAAATCGCAGCGAACGCGGAACTGCAGAAGTTGCAAATTTTTATTTTTCATGACGTCAGCAAACCCCAAAAAATAATCACGGTACGGTGCGCATTTTTATTTTGAATACTTCATCACACAAAATACTGAATCCCATAGAGCCCCCACATAACATTTTCAAAATAAATACAAAAACATTTCGTGTCCAATAATTTTCGCTCAGTTAAAGTCATTTGTTCGGACTTTTAATCTTTGATACTATGAATGAACTTTTGCGTATCTCCAACCCACTTTCCGAATTATACGGTTGTACACATGAATAATTACTATTGCTTGTGAAATGAAAATTTATTTTTTTGATTTTTTAAGTTTTTTTACAGAAAAAATTTTAGCAATTCTACGGAAAAATCCTTTCTTTTTCTTTGGTTCTTCCTTCGTCTCTGCAATACCAGATTCTTCTTGTAGTATGTCAGAATCTTGTGTTTCGTTCACAATAGGTTCGCTTGACAAAATGTATTTTCTTATCTCAGTCTCCAAACTGTGTGATGATGGTATTGTTGTGTCTAATAAAATAGGTTTGTCTTCAGAACATTTATCGTCGGTATATTTGTATGACGATTCAGGTATGTTTTCGAACGGATTTGGCCAAATGTCTTCTTCACTCTTTTTAACAAGTGAGACAGATTCTATCTGTTCATTCTCTGAATGGTCTTGCTGCAACTCAACCTCGATGCGTTTCGTAGGTTCCAATTGTCCTGTATCTGTTTTGTTCAAGTTGTCTAGGTTTTCTCGTTCATGGGAATCCAAAGGCGGCGATAGAGCACGTAGCGTGAATATTCTGGGTATTGCGTAATTGCTTTGGTTATTATTGTCCCAAAAAGTACATCCATTTTGGACAGCCCTGAGTGCAAATATCGCATTTGTACTTTCTTCAGGCCAAGTGACACGAAACGAGAATAAATCAATTGAATTGTCTCCTTCTTCCCAGAAAGCTTCCACATCGGCAAAGTTTTCCCATTGATTAAATGTTATTCTGGAGGATACATGTTTCTCATAAGCGAGATTATGTACTCCAATACGACCAAGTATCTCTCTTTCATCCCAAACTAGATCTGTGAGCGCCACATTTGTGGCATACACCAATTTTCTCCTTTCCTCAGTATTTGATGATAATTGCTGAATGACATCCATAGTTGCAGATTACAACCAACATAGATCAAATTTTCTAAAAAATGAAATATTCTTCCTTATTTACCATAATTATTTCATCTGTGTGACGTCACAATAGTTGCTGTTGACTGAAATCTGATTTCAAACTCTGTGTGTCATAATTGAATCGTTACCTTCTGCAGGATGTAAGACAAAATAAGTTATTTAAACAGTAGCGATGGAGATAGGTAACCGGTCAACCGTTATTAAATGGTTAACGGTTAAAATGGAGGTTTATGATGAATATATATAAAGATTAACCTGAACTTATTTTTATTTCGTGGTTTTTCATTCAACATAATATCACTAATCGGTTTCGTAAACGCCATAAAAATGCAAACAATAGCCTGTGTTTGAGCAACATACCTCCAATGTTTTAGCTCAGACCAGAACAAAAAAATCACCACCACCACCAAAAATAGTTCAAATAACAAACTGTTTCACGCACTTATAAAAAATAGACACTTTTACATTTACGTGGACGGCGAGTATTAGCGCGATTCGGAAATGTTTTAACGGATTGGACGATGCCGTTTTACAAGAGTTTCTGATGGTAATTTATTATGGATTTGACCCGAGAAACGATACCGCGGTCTTGCGTCACTCTGAAACAAAATCTGTAAATTTATATCCCATCAACTATCAACGTAATAAAAAATATACGTGAGTAGCGTTGCGACGGACTAAAAAAATCGAAATCCAATCCAAGTTCAGAAGTTGAATGCTTTCACAGCTGCCCATTTACTACCTTTCACCGAAGCATACGAAGTGTCCAAATCATTCCTTTCTACGTTTTGTGTGGAATCTCGCCGCTTTTTTGAAAAGAGAGTTGAATACAATATTTTTTCGAATAAAAATATAAGTGTAAATCTCAATTAGTATTCAATGGTAGCATAAATTTTGAAAGAACAGATTTTGACGCTTGCGAGAATCAACAGCGCGCTTTTGCGACGGATAGAAACTTGGAAAGAACAACGGGATCGCAAATGTTCTAATGAAGAAATATTCTTTCTTTCGGTAACCAAGCATTTACGCTTGCGGAAGAAGTATGGAACAACAAAATTTCTCATAGACGGGCAAAAAAAGAACTGCCCCCGATTCAATCGTAATTCTATAATAGTCATTTTAAGAAAGGCTACTGAAGATCATTCAGCAATTTCGAGTTCAGTCGAAATAACATAATAAAAACTGAAAGTTTGCCACATAAGGGGTATTTAATACTTGAATACAAAATTTAAATTAGTTGGCATCTCATGGAAAAAAGGGGTTATCGCGAATCTCCATTCACGCAAAGGACCGATCTCGCAAAACGTTCAATCAGAAATCTGTTTTCGCAAATCTAAAAATACACAAGAATTCTTTTCGCAAATATTACCCCTATATAATATATATCCTATTCTTCGTTTCACATACAATTTCATTTTCTCGAATAGGCAAGAGGAAGAAGAAGGATAAAAAGTTGACGGAAATAATTGAAGACGATGGCAAATTTTGGCATTGGCTTGATCCAGGTGATATATCATTCAATTCATCATGAATGTACTTGTGCACTTTTAACTAAGAAATTTATGTATAGCGTATGGTAGAATACGTGAATTTTTATTTAATTCACATAAGCCCAGATAAAACCTAGGTTGTGAGACATAGTTGGCCTCATTGATCTGATGATGAACCACCAAAATGTGCGAAGGATTTTAAAATGTTTTAACCTCAACAAGATTTGTATCTCTTGCTACTATCAACCAGGGTATGTTAATTCTAGGTGCAAATTATTAAATTCGGTCATTATAAATTATAATCGTGTATTTTAATGATATACTGTATGACTTCGCTACTAAGGTTAGTAAAGTTACTTTAATTGTTCATTTGTACTTAGTTTAAAACAGGGGTGTGCAACAGGCAGCCTGAGGGCCACGACCTGGCCCGCCAAGTCAAGTGTGGCCCTATTTGAGACTAACTTTTCCCATCAAGCATAAAATCCTAATGCGACAGTTCATGTTTGAAAAGGCGTTTACATGGGCAAAAATTCATAATGTATTTCTTGTCTTGTAGTTGCATTGAATCTTTCGCTGCTTTGCCAGTGCATATATTACTGTAAGGCTAAGTGACAGCCGCATTCTCTTCTCTTTCCTTACCTGCTAAATTTTTTGTGTGGCTCAGCTAGATGTCTGAAGTTGGTTAGATGATTTCAGTTTTGATCACAAAATCTTGAGTTTGAGTTAATATTCTTATATTTACCCAGACTAGGTCACCTGCAACTTGTTAAGTTTAGGTCCCAGCAATATTTAAGACTGGTCCGGCAATCGGCCCATTATTTTAATTGAAATATAAGTTTTTATTTCTTAGACATTGATCTTCCACCTGTGATTGAAAACAGTCAATCTACAATAAACGTAGTGGAGACAGAATCGAAAAAATCAGTTCAAGAAGAAGAAGAGGATGAAGAATATACAGAGGACGAAGACGAAGATACTTGGGTATTGATTTGCAACATTGACAATATTGCAATTGGCTGGCTTGTAAATTCTACTGTATATATATATCTACACCAGACCAGAGGGCAATATCTGAATATACCGCACAACTTCGACAGCAGACATCGGGGCCCAATATTTTTTAATGCCTTCTCTTATCTGTTAGGGGGCTGGGTGCAAGACAATTTTCTCAGACTGGGGAGACTCAGCTTGCACATGAGCACTTGCGGACTGATGTTCGAGTTGCTGGAAATATCGAGTTGTTCGATGGTCGGGCTCTCAGAGTCACCATAATTTTACATTTTGGCCCATTGCGTTTAACAGTTGTACGTCCATAAAGTGTACGCTAACTAAATATGCAGTGTTTTCGATGTGTGAAATACAGTCATACCAGGCAGTTGAATAACTGTCGTCTTTATCACAGAGTCAGTCACCTGCTTAGTCACGCACTTGACTCGGATGGGTTGATTGCCCAAAATCCTTATATACTTGGTAGAATGTGCAAAAGAATATTGTTATTTGCAAAATAGTTCGTATTTGGTTAAATTTATTTTCATTCCTTAACAAACAAAAATAATCCATTTATGAAAAACTGTAATGGAAATACCAATGAAAAAAAAAGTGTACTCATTTATCTAATCTTTATCTTATTTGTTACAAGACAGGAAAATTAAAGAAAAAAATGAAAAAGCTTGTTCCTTGGAAAAGTCAAGAAGCAGAAGGTAAGTATTCAATGAATAAATTTAAAAGATTAATTCACTTTGTTCGATGCCAGGATCATATTAATTTTGATTTTCATATTTTGACAGATTCGGATGCATTAGAACCTGATCAGAAACTTTTGACGAAAGATTTTCCACCAGGCAGTTTACCCCCAGAATTGACAGCAACCAAAGCTCACCAGTTGGAAAACATCATTCGACCTGTAGCTGTGGAAGATATCCAGGCAGTCAGAGTTTCTGATGAATTTGGAAGAGAAGGTGTTGTTGACTCAAACAGAAGCGAAGATTCAGGTTTGTTGTTTTAAAAAAACAAAAATTTTACATTTGGTGTGACTATTATTTGTAATAGGCTGGATGGTCATATAGCAATGAGTCACAACTCAAACAACTTGAGACAATGGTACAGCGATTCTATGATAAAAGAACGTTCGCAATGCATAGTTGTCTGCAATATTGACTAGATGTATTTTTCTTTTGTTTTTGTGCCTTAATTGTCAAAGATTCACAATGTCCTATGATTAAATATTTAAAAACGAGCAGAATAGCTGCAAATTTCAGTTTGGTATCAGCACAATATTGCTTATGTCTTTATTAGATATTGCATATACTCATCATGTATTGTATATTATCATGTACAGAGGATGATGAGAAAGGCAAATCAAAGGAGGAAACTATCCTTTACGTTGGAGAAGGTTTTTTGGTTCAGCCGGTTTCTGTGTGGCAGGTAGGAAGCGAATGAAATATCAATAAACTGCAATAGGATTCTTCAAATTTGTTAACTATAAATTTGTCATATATTCAGGTTGACAGCGATTTTTCTATCGACAGTTTAGATCTGAAGGGAACAGACTTATCTGAATTTACAGCTATGGAATCTATGCCTGCTGCTGAATTCGAAGGATTTAAGTAAGCAAATTGTACTCACTCTAGGTTTTCTTTAAGAATTACCCTTTGACGACACTAACTTGCCGTGTGTAGCCTTTCACATTTGCAAAAAATTGTGTCAAATATCATACTTACTAGGACTCAAACCTAAGTTATCTACCAACAGTCTTTGTCACATATACGTATTTGCATTGCACAATGTAATTCACGTCATAATGCAATGCTATTTAACTCAATTAGAGACTACTAAGTACTTGATGCAATAACTTGTGAAGTAATCATGTATGTACCATCATGTTAAATAATAATCATTACACTTCTCTTTACAGGAAAAGAAAAGTAACTGCTAGCAAAACAGTTGAATTCACGCAATCTGAAATGCAAATTCGAAACATGATGGATCTGGGAAGAAGAGGAGGAATTGCTGAAATACGTAAGCTTGCATGAATTCCAGTTCCATTCGCATATAAAAACTTCAAGAAAGGGAACATTTAAAATTGTTTGAAATTGTTAGATGGTTTCAAGCAGGGTCGGTCGAGTCAGAAAAATTTACCATCGACTCTGGGTGGAAAAAAATTTGGCTACGCTTTCTGATTCCGAGTTGGGCAAAATTATGACTCCGACTCCGTGCTGCACAAATTTTCAACTTTGACTCCAGCTTCGAACTCCTAAAAAACATATTTTGATAAAAAACAAAACTCTTGCATATGCAAACTTCTTTAACAGACTAAGAGAAATGCTTAGTAAAGTTCATTCTTCTCCAGTTTTCTTGGAAAATTTTGAATTCTTTTATCACCATTGAAAGTCTGAAATCCTCACTTCGAGATGAATCAGAATTTTGACTCTTGCTACTGACCCTAGGGAGTCTGAAAAGGCACTCACTAAAAACATGCCAAACCCTGACTTCATCGCCCCGGTATCAAGTCCTAATTTTGTTATTCTGTTCCTGTCCAGGTCGTCTGAATTCTCCACATAAAATGTTGGGAAGTTCACTTCAAATATGACACTATATTGGTGCACAGTTAAATCGCACTTTCATTCACTTTTACTGACGTATTGTAATCCTGTGATCAATGATAAAATTTGATTCATAGTATCATAAAATATATCACAACTTTGTGAAGTGTTGGTTAATATGTCAAACAATATTCTATAAACTCAAAGGTGACACAGTGTCGGATGATGCTGATAAATGGGGAGAAGATAATTATGGAAACGAAGATGAAATTCCTCTTCCACGAAAGATTAGTTTATTGACTGCTGAAGAAAATGAGCTGGTTAGTGTCAGAGCCATTGAATTTTTAACAAGGCTAAAATCTCATGATTGTAACAAAAATTTAAAAAACTGAGATTGATTAGGAATAACATAATCCTTTTCATGGAAAGAGAATATGTTATTCTTATTTATCACTTTAATTCTATGTTGTTCAAGCGTCCTTGTGATGAAAAAGGCATGTACATTCATCATAAATATAAATACACCTTGCAGGTCAGTTGGGTTTATTATGATCGATGTGTCCATGGCAACAAGTGGTTGAAACGAGAAACACCTTTATCTTCAGTTCTGGTGTCAACAGAAGACTCTGGAGGAGTTCGAGATGTTGATTGGTGGGGAGTTGATATCAGCTCGGATGGGGAAGATGGATCAATTCGAAAATATGCTGATGTGTGTAAGTAGGATAAACATAATAGGGTAAAATGACTTGTTTGGAAAACACTGGCATAAACTTATTTCAGAACAATTTCTCCTAAAACACTAAGCGTTTGTTAAGAGTTAAACAAAATTGAACTATAAAAATATCACCATAGTCAAATATGAAGACTACGCTACTGCCCAGCTCGCGCCCCTATTATAGCAAATCATGCAAGTTGGTGTTCACACCATAAATTTTGACTCTGAAGATAAGTATTCAATTGTTGCGACATTTCTGATACACAAAATGTTGTATTCGATGAACTATGTTGGATTTTGCATTTCAGTTAGATCAGAGGACTATTTCAAGAAAAAAGACGCAGTTCGAGAGCTTCGAAAACTTTATCCAGAACCAGTGCCGAGAGAGAGGGTAGGTAGTTATTACCGGTATATATAACTCTTGGGATGCCATTACTGACTACCATAAAAATTTTGCATATACATCAATGGTATTCTTGATTGGTATTTCAATTACACCTTCATCAAATATCAATGTCTCAAATCTCAAAGTTGTTTATTTCCTGCGTGTTATCTTGAGGCTTTTGCTTATGAACATCTATATACTTAAGTGGTATTTTAAATTGAAAAAATATTAATTTTTTCCAATACAAACTTAGATAATAATTTTTTTCACTGAACAATGCATTTCAAATCACATTTTTGGCTTCAAAATATCCTAGATCGAACTGTGCGTCGTACAATATTCTACAGGTACAAAATACCTTTTTTACATAAAACTAATGACTGCCATACCTCAGTGTAATTGTAGGGCTCTATCATGACCATCTGTCAAGGTCCTGGATATTTCATAACCATGGCTGAAACAAAACTTTTTTTTTCAGATATTCTCGATGTTGATGTTTCCTGATTACGTCACAAAGCTCAGTCAAGCGTATGATCAAATGGTTGTTGATCCAGAATGTTGGTCTGCTCTTGCTGATTTCTACGCAGAATGGGCAGATTCTGATGATGGCCCTCTGTTATTTTGTGAAGCTTGCATTAATGTAGCAAAACTTTCAACTGGCGGAAAGGTTAATCGTTGACAATTTTATACATTTGGAAAGATTTTTATTCCATCCAAGGCTATAAAATTTGAGAAAAGTTCCATTAGATCTGCATCCATAGATTGATGAAAATAGGCACAGCGCTCTAAACCGAGATAATAAAATTTTGCATGGACTTTTCCGTTTTCTCAGCTCATCGATATATCGAATTGAAAATTAATCTTGTTGAATCAAACTATTTTGCATTTTGAAGAATATTGTTGCATTTTCATTTTTTTTTAAATTTTCGACATCAAATCTACCACTTTTGCTTGTCTGTAATATAATAAAAGTAATGCTCTTTCAGATTGTTCATGATATACTATCTTGTGGAAGAACATCAACAGCATGGACAGCACTTGTATGTGAGCTGACTCAACGTTTACGTTATCAAGGCGACAATGTTGAAAGGTTAAAGGTAAATAGCCTCAATAAAAACTATTTTAGTATTGGCAACTGATTCTTTTTTACTCTTTGTTAAATGATCACAATGATATTCTAGTAGCGAATTAGTATTAGGTTGTTACTGTCCTATGTTCCATATCATGGAAATAAGTTTGCCCTCTATCTAATTGCAATATCTGTTCGAATCTCATCCATTTTCGATATAGAATTTTCGATATCTTATCATTGCTTCTTAAAATGAACTTTGTCAATCTAATTTTAAATGTATTCTTGCCATTCGAAGCCGCTATCGACTCATGTTGAGCTTTTATAATTAATTTTTTTTTCTAATTTATCTTTCGTATTCTAGGAAAAATACGGACTTGAAAATGAATGTCTAATCAATGCAACAGCAAAATCACATGGAAATAGTGATTGTTCGGTGGAAATCGACCCTGGGATTATAAAAATGCCTCAGAGTGCTTTTGACATTGGTGAATGGAATTAACTTTAAATATTATATATAAATTTAGAAACAAATGTTTAAGATAGTTGGGCCTTATGCCGAGCATGCCATTTCAATCATTTGCTATACTGTTTTTGTTTTTCCTAATTATTCAACCACTTGAGAAACTATGATGCACACAATATTGTCTTGTATATAACGATAAAATGAAGCTATATACTATTATGATCTTCTACTAGTAGTCTTAAATTAGACATTGATGTTTCAGTTTTTTCCTAACTTTATATATAAGACTAACTTCATTTCAGGAAATTTACCTTCAATGGAATCCATTTCTGAGGTTGATCCGGAAACAAAACCCTCTCTGACATGTGTTTATACCGAATTGGAGCGATTATCGGAATGGAGAAAAAAGCTGTCTGAATTGGACATCGTTCTCAAAGTATGTATCGAAACTATTGTCCTAATATTTTTCAATTTCAAAGGTAATTTATCGATACCATATATAGTTTGTTGACCCCTACATGGGTATTGAAATATTGAATAAAATAAAACAAAATTAGCACTGTTTGTAATAAAATAAACTTTTCAGGAAACTGACTTCATAATGAAATTGGAATTGTGATGGCACTTTATTGTTAAGTTTTTTAAATGTGATCGAACCTACTTGTATCCGCACAGGGAAATAGTAAACTTTGAGAACCAATACCGGTAACGAAGAGATTGCAATGAATATTTTATTATTTCCTATACCTTAAATATTTGAAGTTGATTCTCATATACATCCTTAAAAGTTTTTATATAATCCACAACTCTTCATACTATCTTTTCTATTTTGTTCTCTATTTTCGCGCCATCTTGAGCATTGTTAAACAACTTTTATAATTTATTCTCTTTTATTTGCAGGGTTGTCCTATGAGTGAACTAAAGGACGAAGAAGCGAGAAAAATGTCAAGATTTTATCGAAAAATGATTACAGCACCCGGAGGCTGTGCTTTATTTAGTGAACTGATGCGACAGATAACTATTTCCAACAACAAAGGTAAACCTTCAAATCTTTTGAATAAGACAATTTAATAACCACAATTTGCAACTACTCAATCATAGGGGTTACTAGGGAATGGTGTATTAAAAACTGCAGATACTTTCTTCTTGTCTACTGCTTACTTTGGATTCCTATGTATCAGTTGCCATAATGATGCTTGAACGAGAAAGCAATAAAAAAATAAATAAGACTCCTCCTGGAGGTGTGGCGCAACGTGCTAAACGTTAGGAATACGCTCGCCACCGCATCTCTGATTACCCTGCACTCACAGGTTCGAATCCCATGCGGGGATAGTTATGCGCAAGACTTCTCGCCGCCAAAGGGTGGTTCACGTAACCGCTGGTCGATTACGGCTTCCTCCATTAATTTTATGCTTCCAAAAATAAATAACTGGCTGAGTAATCCCATACCCGACATGGACTGGTAACCGGAGCAGAGGCTGTGATTCGCCATATGATTAAGCCGTCTTATAACTTTTCGCTCACCCGGGATGAATGTCAATCCTATCCTATCCTAGTAAGAATATTTTAATCTTTTTTCACAAAATTAGTTGGTGAAAGCTTGCTAACACAGTTGCTATTTATGTGGAAAAAGATTACCGTATATTATTCTTACTTAGTTATACATTATTTTGCAGTTGAATATTTTATGTCTGCAGGTCGTCGCATGGTTTGTCGAATTATTCGCTATGTTGCTGGACACAATGATGGAATCCCTTTTCTAAATCAACTTTTGAAAGGATTAGGATTGACAGGAATCAGTGGACGGAAAATCCTCGTACGAATTTTCAACCTGATTGAAAATCGAAAACCATCTGGACCACGAGTATGTATTCACTTGTTTACTATAAAGCAGTGGTTCCTAATGTATGGGTCGCGGAAGGTCTAAAAATGGGTCACGGAAGGTCTAAAAATGAGTCGCGCCAATTTTGGCACTGCAAGGGCGATCCAAGATGAAGGGCCGAATCTTTCAGCTGGTTCAATTTAACTTTGGTATTCAAAAACAATGAAATATTAAATGTCATTTACGAAAGAATGTTTTGAAGGCATTGTTACATCACAATTTACATATGTATTCGAGTCACGTGTCTTGTGTTATGGTGTCGGTAACTAAGCATATCTCTCAGCTATCTCTCAACATGAGATGTTTCAAGATCTAGAGGTAAAACATTTCGTTTTGGACTTCGTATTCATATATTTGAGCATAGCTCTCTTGTTAGTTATAAAGAGCAAAATATATTTAGCCTTAACAATGTACTTTGTGAAGGGGCTGATAGACACATGTATAATAGTTATGAATATAAAGTTAACAAAGTAAATTTTGTTGTTACATGTCTCTTCGTAGATGTAGTCCTTTTTAGTAGACGCTAAACTACATTTTTTGCTATTTTTAATATTGGGCTGGGACTCATATTTGAGTCGTGCTCGAAAAAAGGGTAAGAACCATTGCTATAAAGAATTTTCATAGTTATTTAAATTGCTAATGGAATTTATGGATACGATATCTAGTTTATTAGCCGCAGGTGTGAAGTAAAAATTTGAATAAACACTGATTGAAAAAAAATCAAACATTGTCAACAGATAGTAACTTCACATATTTCGTACTTTTTAATATAATTTTTTATTTACTTACGCCTTTTGCTACAAATTAGGGTGTGTAGTAATAGTACCTGATATATAACAATAAAAGGCGCTAGTATTATTTGAAAGCTCAGCACTCCTACCCAATTTATAACACCCTGGATAAGGTGGGGGCATGGGATTTGAACCCAATTTAGGTCTAAGGCTTTATCCGCTACGCCATAGCGGGACTTTTGTACACATTTTTGAACGCTTCACATTTTAGTTAGTTTGGGTATGATGGATACTTACTTAAATTTATGTGTTAGAATTACATAGTCATTTTACAAACTGATGCATTGCTTTTTGTTGGAAGGCATCTTGAATGCTCTCAATTAAATTGTAAATATGTTATATTCCAGGTTTTGACCAATCTCGCTAATGCATTGGAAATGGTGGAAATAGGTAAATTAGTGTTAAAAGATCTTCAAATCGATGCTGCAAGAGCTCACAGAAGAGCACATGAAGTCAGACAATCAATCAGGCGACATCTAGATCCTATTATACGGGTGAATATTTATAGAAATGAGAAATAAGAGGGTTTTTATTAAAGCAAGATGCTGCTTAAAAATTTTTGATGAATGCACGACTTCGATTGATATCATATGCCACAGTCTTTGATACTATACCATCAACTCTTATACTCCTTTCGTGGAATATTTATTGTTACGAAGAAGTCACGTTTATTAGGCTATATAAGTTATGTTACATGTTATTAAGCTATTCTCGTTTTATAATTCAAAATAAATTAGTTATATGTGTCTGTTTTAATCAATCTTACCTGCTTCAACCAAGTACATTTGGAACAGTGAGTGATTGTATTTTTGTTATCCTAGAATGCTTTGTTTTTATTGTATTTGGAATAACATACCGTAGTTATTATACATACCTGATCATACATGTGAGTATCCATTTCTCAAATTTACTTCGTACTCATAACGCTATTAGTTAATTTGGTAAAATGAATGATTCTACATGTGTTTTGTTGAATACATTGTTATAGATAAATCGACAAAGTGTTTGCCAGCTTGTTATCTCTCTCAATGAAATTGCAAAATATATGCTTGGTGTTGCCAACAATGCACGTTCCGTTTTGGAAGGTTCTGAAACACAATCGGGTCAAGATCCCACGACAGGTAATAGAAATGTTTTCCACCCAGTCACTTCACAAGATTCAGAAGATATTTTGTAAATTTTCCCTAATGTCGGCAGTGTGATGCATCGTGCACATACCTCCTATTACTCTGCAGGGGTTCGCAGATTTCATGGTGATTAGTTATTTGTGAGAGATTCGCTGGACTCATCGCCGCCATGTGTGGTTCACGCCGGTCCGTTACGGCTTCCTCCACCATCAACTCCATGCATCTGAAAAAAATACCTCGCTCTCTAATCTCATACCCAACATGGACTGGTAACCAGACTAGAGGCAGTAATTTTCCATGTGATTGATCTATTTTATTGGGTTTACTCTCCCCGAATAAATATGTAAATCCTATCCTTAATCTCTGTATATTTATGCATTGTACAGGGAATGGTATCCGAGACATTGTTCAAAATAAAGATGTGGCCACTATTGATGATCCTCGACCGGTCAATGATAATTTGTGGAATTCTGAAAGAAATTGTTGCAGAAATTACATGGATTTACAACAAAGGATAAATCAGGTATATTGCCTATTATTTTTTAAGGTTCAACTTATTTTTACTGAGGTGTACGTGTTGGCCTAGGCTATTATAAATAATAAGTTTGTGATTTTTTGTCATGCCACCTGGAGTGCTTTGAATATACAAAATAATGAAATATTTTGATGAGAGAGTATTCCACAGTACGAAAATTTTAAGAACAGATTCTCTTTGGCGCGGCGGTGTGGCTCAACGGGCTAAGCGTTAGGAATACGCTCGCCACCGCACCTCTAATTACTCTGCATGGGTTCGCAGGTTCGAATCCCATGCAGGGATGGTTATGTGCGAGAGGATTGCTGGACTCCTCGCCGTTGTTGGGTGGTTCACGTAACCGCTGGTCGGTTACGGCTTCCTCCACCACCAAGTCCATGCTTCCGAAAACAAACAATATAACTAATCCCATACCCGACTTGGAATGGTAACCGGACGAGAGGCCGTGGTTCGCCATATGGATAAGCCGTCTTATCGGCTTTCCTCTCCCCCGGGATAAATATGTAAATCCTATCCTATGTATCGAACTCACTAACAATAGGTTTATCCTAATATCAGAAAATGTATATATGTCACTGTGTAAGCTACATTGCATTGGTGCGTTTTACATAAATTTAGTACATGAATTTTCAAATGCTGAATACGTTACTCATTTGCTGCGATCTTCTAACGCAGGGGTGGGCAAGGTTTTTGGTCCGGGGGCCAAAAATTTGGCCCACCTAGACTGCAGGGCATGTAAGTGTGACGTAAAAAGTTACATTTTAAGAACAATATTTACAGTGTTACAAAAGCAAAATTGGAAAACAATAAGCCTGGTGCCAAAGCCAAATTTAAGCACAATCTCTACAAATTTCTTGAGCTATTTTTCAAAAATCAAAATTAGGTTTTAGCTTGGTTGTGGCAGCATCAGACGGGCCAGATTGAATTACTCAACAGGCCGGATTTGGCTCGTGGGTCGTAGTTTCCCCATGTCAGTTCTAACACCTAAAACAAAACGGATTCTCCGATTATTACAATATTCCAAGTGTAAACCTTTCTGAATTACCACTGTTCACAGGTTAAGCAATATTCTAATGTATATAGATATTCTAATACCAATATTTCTAATATCAGAGTGTCCCTACTAGAAAGAAGAGTGTCAAAGAACCAGAGTATTTCCAATTGACTGATTCCAGCTCGGAAGTTCCTTTTGTCCGGAGGCAACCTCCCAAAAAGGAGGTTCCACTTGTTTCCGATCTTTGGCAGCCGATTGACGGCCGAGGCGACATTATCAATATCTATAAGAAAGGTGATGAAACTCCCGCGCCAATCCCAATTAGGTCAGAAGAAGGTTTTTCATTGCCATGTAAACCAAAAATTCATTGTGAGAAACAGAAAAGGATGAATTTGAATGAATTTTTTCTTCAGTCTAAAGACTATGAACGATTCAACATAGATTTTCGATACAAGTAAGTTAAATATTTTACCTGTTGTAAGCACAAGAAACCTCGCATTTCGAATGGGAAGGAGGGTACAGTGAGTAAATTGTTCTCAAAGAAAATGCATTAAATGTGTCTTGTTAATTACATACATGTCATAGTATCGTATAGTAGATCGGTTCCGTCATTAGCAAAACAGGACAATATGAGCGTTATTTTATATTTATTTTGGTTTCTACTGGTTAGGTAAATTTCTTAACAATGTTATCTTTGAATGTTTATGACGTAACAATTTAACAAACATTAAAAAAGAGTCTTTTAGCAGATAGCCTTATAACTTTCATCTATAATCTATAATCACTTTTTCACATATAACCAATAAATTCACGATGCTTAATACTAGAAAATAATATATAATTATTATAGCTAGCTTTTGCTATTTAATCTAATCGACTTCATTTTTATTTCAGACCTTCTGTAGATTTCAAAATTCCAGAGCCAAATCATCACCATGAGAAATTTGACTTTGATCGTGAAATTTCTCGTTGTTGGAAGCCACCAATTTCAACAATTCGTCGAAACGCTTATGTCGGCAATCAAAACACCCCCACCGACCAAGAGCAAGCTTGTGTGAAGTGGGGTAAAGATTACAACCCCGAAAACGCAGAAGATTGGGGTGGGGTAGCTATGTGCACTTGTCACGACAAAAGCTACATTACAAAAGGAAAAGACGGGAAACATCACTGTCTTATTTGTTCTATTGCTGATAAGCTGAAGAAAGTGGACAATCCTCAACAAGTAGTCGATATTTTAACCAACGAATGTGAAACCTTTCCAGAAAAATCTCTCAACGAGTTGAAACAGCTACCTGTCCTGGAGAGAGAAACTATAAAAAAGATTCAAGAAGCAATGCAAACAAAAGCAGATATTGCGCCAACACCAAGTGGCTTTGCATCTACTTCCGAAGAAGGAAAAGATCAACCTAAATATAAAGCTGATGTAATCAATATAGAAAATGAGCGTGCACCTATGCCGAGTGGCCAAAGAGCCGACGATAATGTTCCAGATGGTATTACAAATGAAAAGTTTCCATTTTGTGGTACTAGGACCGAGAAAGTGTGTACATGTATCGGTGGCGATAAACAACGAAAAAGTGTTTCGCTTTTTGCTAAATATTTGGCAATGTTTAATCCAGATAAAAATAATACAGATAATGTTGCTTCTTCTCCCGAGACTGCGGACTCAAAAATCAACCACGGATGCTTAGAAGGGACTGAAAAAATAATCAGCCCTTCGAAGATTTCTCCTGATACAGCTTTGCGGAGACGCCAGGAAGCCAAAGATGTTACATTCACTTCCAAGTCGCCATCAGAGTTTTATCAGCATAACCAAAAGACCACGGAGACTGTTACCCAGGACTACCAATTTCCAACCCACGAAAAAACATCTTCAGAAAAAATAGGTTTGTTACAAAGGAAGAACGACACAGAATATTGGGGAAGAGATGATTCTGAAGTCAGTATATTTTCACATCCACCAGTGGCAACAGAATCGATTCATTGTAAAGAATGTGGTGGTCTTCTTATGCCTGCTGATAATGGAGAGCTGAATGCGTACAATTATCTTTCCAAGAATGGTGAAATATCAAGACAGGAAGGTTGGTAGAAAATAGGGTACTCCCGTAGTGTGTGTACCAGGTTAGGTTTAGGCCATAATTTCTATTTTTCCTCATTTCATAGGCTTCAGTCCCTTTACACAACTTGATGTAAAATAGGCAAACAAAATTAGTTACCTTCATATTCGTACACACACTTCTGGAGCGCCTAAAATAGACCCCCCAAACAGATGTATTTGTGATCATAGTGGCCTAGTGATAAATTTAGTAGCTCTATAAATGGCATTGGCTGCTTGAAGGTATGGTGTATACCCATGTCATATATAAAAAAAAAATTCACTGGCGGGTCACTTGCAATATACTTAGTTAAGTGCTTGTAACCGTTTTTTCATCTATTTTCTGATCTAGTCCTCGTGAATCGCACTCTTTGGTTTTGCACAGTCTCTGTTTTAGAAATACCACCTCCTAAATAACTCACGTGAATAAACAACCTAGAATCTAGTATTCCTTATACAAAGGGGAGGATATTTTTAGGTGTCAGTGTGCTTTGTATTTATTATAATAACTAAATGAGATTTATTTTCTAGAAATTTCGCTGAAATCGTATTATTCCAGATTACTGACATTCCAATACTTTTTGGGAATTAGTATTAGATTCTATCTCATACATTAATATGAACTATTGGAAAAAATATGGCTGTTTTAGGGTTTTTTGAAAACCAAATCATCATTTGATTATTGATACCTTATCATAATTTGATAAGTTTTCTCAAGAGTTACTATAGCTTTCCCAGTCTAACATAATGTAATAGTACATCACTAGACACATAACTATCAGTGTAGAGATTGCGCGAGACTAACTAATCCTGCGGTTTTTAACAAGATTGTACTTTTTGTGTCATTGTTGTGAACTGCTTGTCTGAGGACGTCTGATATTGGTCAGACGGAAAGTTACAGAAATACATTTGTGTTAGTGTACAGCAGGACTCTTGAATTGCATACTGAAGGACAGAGGTATATTCAGCGACATGAAATTTGTACTTAACACTTTAGACGGAATCACGATTGATTCATCATCAGCATCGTTCCAAGAATTTGAAAGCGATTCTACTAATAAAGCAAACAACAAAATTACCCTTGAAAATGCAATGGGATGTTGTAATACACCCGGTTGTTATGCTCGCATACCAAGGAATTGTAGATACCGATATGGTGACGTGAAAGCAAAAGAAAAACAAATGCAAAAATATCACAACAGAGTTAAAGATATTGAGGAAGACATCAAGGTATTTTATTTGTATATTACAACTTGAAAAACACAAAATTCCTATTTGGAGCATACATAATTTGAAACATAATGTAGTCTATTTTAGTTTCGATATATCGTAAAGTTATCTGAATAAATTGGTAATTCTCTGAGCATTTGACGTTTTCCATCAATTATTTGCATTTATAAGCCAGTCAGAGATTTTAAAAGAACATTGGTTACCTGAAACCCCTTTTTTGTTGATTTTTTAACCTCAGTGGTCTGGCTTAAAAAACATACATTTCTAATACCTTCCGTTTTTTGAATACTTTTTTTTGTCTGTCTTTTTATATACTAAAATTAAAACAAGAAAAGTAATCATAACGAACATTTTCAGGGGCGATACAAGGAGTGGATAAAAGACTCACCCTGTGGGAAACCTGTTTGTACAAAAGTACATAAATCTGGAACCGATTCGCAGATATCCGATACCGAACAAAGTGACGAATCGACATTAAAATTGCCGGATGTTGGATTCCAATTGGTTTCAGAATCAACTGGACGTATTGTGAATCCCACAAAGAATTATCCTATTACTGCAAAATCTCTGAAAGTTGAAGAAAATAGAAAACTTCTTGATGAAGTTTGTGATCTGTGCAAGGTAGGTGGGAGTAAATCGTGGATCCAAAATTTTCTATCAACGATTGAAACAATATTTTAATTAGGAATAATATTACTCGGTCATGTCTTCAGGATAAGATTTCTTCATATTTAACCTGAGAGAGGGGAAAGTCGACAAGGCCTTTGAATTTCATGGCGTGTTCCCAAAGATTAGCATGATACGACAACTGCCGAGAAACTTGTACTAAGAGTTTGCGTACGAATATTTTAATTCACAAAATTTTTAATTTGTAAATCCTGGCATTTGGTGATATAAACCATTGCTTTCAACATATATATGTATATATATTGAACAACGAAAAAAAGAAAATTAAATAACTGAGTCTATCAAAATTAAATTGCTAATCTATTTTTATATTTGGAACCATTAATGATGATACAGTCCTACTGCTGTAATGAAGAGTTCTTGTGACTTTCTAGTTGCCAAAGTTCGAATGCTGTGACGTCAATGATAGCGACGATTCTACGAAACAAAAGCAAATCGCAGGACGTTATTGCTTATGTCGACATGTTGATGATTCCATTGATGGAAAGTTTTTTACAGTTCTTTCATCAAATGAGAAACCACATAGGTATTATGTTTTCTTTGTAGATGTAACAGAAAGAACAAAGTCTATGCAATTGTTATAACCTGGAGAACATCAGAATTAATCACAGATTTGCATCAGCATTTTATGAAAGCTCGAAATTGGGTAAAATAATTCACAATACGCCACAATTATTAACTATTTACTGTTTTCACTCCAAATTGACTTTCACATATTGATGACGTATTTAATCATGTGTCGTGTAATTAGTTTCAGACAAGAATCAACTAAATATAAAGTATGGGGGGGGATATAAGGTATGGAAGGCACAATCACATCCGAAACCATAATCTCAATGATGTTCATCTTATATTCGAGAAATATCTGCGCATGCTTACGAACTTGCTACAGTTGTATTTTTAATAACTGGATTTCATTCAGACACATTCACATTTACAACATCAATCTTAACTGAACAAACTGTAAAATCAGAATATATATCACACGATTTGGTCCGTATAAAACAATCTTTTGTACTCAAGACAGACACTTAGTCACTAGATGTACTGTGCGTGCGTTGCACTTCCTTTTGCCAATCAGCATATCATTATTTTTTAGTGTATGCTCAGAATGTCATGTCAGAGTTGGAACGCAACAACGACCTCCTTGTGTTCGATATTTGCTTCCTTTGAAGATAGTGCGTTGTTACGAAAATACATTGGCTAAATATGGAAAGGTATCACGTGAATTTAAACACGATAAATGCAGGAATATTCATTTTGTAATATTATGTTTCATATATTCAGCCTCTACCTGAATCTTCAGACTCTGGTTTATCTATGGATACAGCAATGGATATGCACAACGAGGATGATTTATTTCCACTTAATGAAACTGAGCAGATGACATTGCTCGATTTGATGGGATTGTCAAGCAAACCAGGTTGGTTTTTGTTAATTGGGATTTTGTAGTAATGGAATAAAGAAGGATCTTTTTTGTATATGCTTAATATTAATTTGAAATCATCTCTTTCATTTACCTCTATTTTCTTAGCAATATTTTGACTTCATCTTATCTGACTTACTTGTTAAGGTTTAAATAAACTCAAACTTAACTCATGAACTTGTTCATAAAAAGGCAAAAAGCGACGCCGTAGTTGCAGACCAAAACGAACACCGGAGAAGAGCTCATCATTGACAACTGTTGAGAATTGTTCCGTTTGCTCAAGTACATCTAGTGGAGTGTGTTGTCACGTACATTCTTCGAGATTATTACCAGTTTTGCATTTACAAGGATTCACGTAAGTGGAGTAATTCTTGATTCAATTTTAAATCCATATTGAATATTTGAACATAACATAGCGTGACTGTGTGGCGCATCGGGTTAAGCATCCCGTCACCTCTAATTACCATACGCGGGTTTGCAGGTTCGAATCCCAGGCGAGAATAATTATGTGCAAGAGGATTGCTGGACTCAGCGTCCTCTTAGGGTGATTCACGTAACCATTGGTCGGTTATGGCTCCCTCCGCCATTATGTCCATGCTTCCAAAAACAAATAACTGGATAACTAATTTCATACCAGACATGGACTGGTAACCGGACAAGAGGTCGTGGTTCGCCATATAATTGAGCCATCTTATCGACTTTTCTCTTCCTAGCATAAATATGTAAACCTTATCCTATTTAATTACAATCTTTGTTCAGATGCAAAAATTCAGAGCAGTACTCAGATAAGAAAGATTATCCTGCTTTGACATTCAAATGGTGGCAGAGCCACGAGAAATCACTCCAAGCCATGCAATCTTGTGCTGATGCTTGTGTTTGTCTCCGCATTATTCTTGAAAAAGATAAATCGAAAGCTCTGACTGATCATGAAATATCTTGCAAGGTATGATTCAATTAAGCTCAGTGGGTCATTTTTCTTGTTGATGTCGATAAACCAGCTTGGCAGTGTGGCGCATCTTGCTAAGCGTTAAGAATACGCTTGTCGCAGCACCTCAGATTACCTTGCATGGGTCCACTGGTTCGAATTCTGTGGGAGATGATTATGTGTGAGAAGATTGCTGGACTCCTTGCCGCCGTAGAGTGGTTGACCTAACCGTTGATTGGTTATGGCTTCCTCCACCATCAAGTCCATGCATCTGAAAACAAATAACTGGCTATTCCCATACCTGACATGTACTTGTAACCTGACGAGGTAGTCGTGGTTCGCCATATGATTAAGCTGTCTTATCAGCTTTCCTCTACCCTGTGATAAATATGTAAATCATATCCTATCCCAATTGCAATTACAATCACTAAGAATGAAGAGAGGACTTGTTGATGAAAATGTAACATTAACCCATGGTCACACTTCATCAAGAGTGTAATAAATTAGGTAGGCTATTCCCAACAGCCCTTTTAAATAATACTTCTAGAAGTAGTTGTGTGTTTGGTTGTTTTGTTATGAGAGAATATTTGAAAAACATAGAAAATAAAATTATCTCATTATCCATTACCAGGTATGTTCAGTAGTTGGCGGTGATGGTACTGACGGACAATGTGGTAAATTACTTGGACCTCGATACAGTGAATTCTTACCGATTGTTTGGCGATCGGAGATCCGATCGATGGGTCGGCGAGGCGAGAGGTCATCGATCGTTGGTATGTGAATGTATATTTTATGTATTCATACATCACTGTACAAAATTATTTTTGCTGTTTTATATCTCGGTTTTCATTGTTACAGAATTGCGCCGACCTCGATTTTACAAGCAGCTCATCAATGCTATTGTCGAAAGTACTCGAATGTTGCTTTTGACCCCTGATCTTCGACCTCAGCGTTTAACACCTGCTATGAGCATCTACGATAGACTTTTTCCTGCTGCAAAAGATGAACCAGGTTCTTCCAATGATGACTCAGAGATGGAGAGAGCACAAGAAGGGGGAGAGGAATATGTTACAACAGCTCATGTTGCGAGATTAGCTCATTTCCGCGCAATGATGAAATGCCTCAATGATATCCAGTATGAAGGTGATGATTACTTATATTTTTATTACTTATCAGATTTTCATTTGGTTTCTTACAAAGTCGGCTCGGCGGTGTGGCGCACCATGCTAAGCGTTATGGAATTCGCTCGTCACCACACCTCTGATTACCCTCGTGGGTTGGCAGGTTCGAATCCCATGCGGAGATGGTTATGTGCGAGAGAATTGCTGGACTCCTCGCCACAGTAGGGTGTTCCAATTCAACACCAAGTCCATGCTTCCGAAAAAACAAATAACTGGCTAACTAATCACATACTCGACCTGGAATGGTAACGACTTTTATCTCCCCCAGGATAAATATGTAAATCCTTCGTTTTGTACTAAACATTTCACAATTGTACTAAAGTTATTTGTTGTTCTAATTAATTTAGCAATTTTTGCAGGATCTCGTTTACGTTCGTGCAAGCTTGTTGGCGATCGTGATGTTACTCGAGTAACGTTGCTTGATCAACAAAAACATGATAAAAAGGAAGATAAATTGAAGGAAAAAGAATTGAATGACAGTGGGAACGAAAGCATTACAAAAAATGACAAAGTTGTTTCGCTGATTGACTTGATTATAAACTTCATAAAGGTTTGTGTTGATTTTACAATGGACTTGTAATCAAGACCCAAACTTATAATATATTATATTCCATATATTAAATCATTACCTCTAATATTTATCGAAGTGGCAGGGTATACAGAGTGTTCATAAAATTGATCGGGATTGTTATGTTTTGATTCCGTTTTTATTTTTATGTAATTTACTACACCTGTAGGGATCAACATTCCTTTTGCAATTCAATAAATTTTTGAGAGACTTCATGAACACCTTGTATAATTTTTGCATTGCTGGTTCGATAATGCCTGCCTAATTTATTACGCACTGTGGCGAGGGAGGTGGTGGTGACGAAATTGAGATCCGAAATTTTAACCTGTGATGCTATCATAGTTAATTCAGGAGTAACACTTCAACCACTAGGTGACTTCTTCCGCAAATTTAACTCAAGTTTTCAAAACAGGGTGACAGTAATAAAATCGTTACCTCAGGTACCCATATCTTTAGGTCAATATACTGCTTAAATTCTATCAATTGACCAAAATATAATTTTAATTCTTTGTTCTTCAGCTAGAAAGCACCGTGACATATTATATGTATGTTCATGTATTTATTTTGTCAGAACAAGGCCTGTGGAAGCATTTTGGATTGTCGAGAGCTGTTAGAAGCACCTTGGGAACTGCCTGCAGAACAACAACAAATTGCTGGACGGATGTTGAAGAAAATTGATTCAGTTTTAAGCGGAAAGGTGAAGAAAATGCAGTCATTTTGTAACTATGTACAATAAATAGCTTTTACGATTCATTCATTATTTTTTTTCATATTTTAGTCGGAATCTTCATTCAAGGCTGCCGATAAATTATCAACGTGGGACGATTCACTTTCATGTATAGTTGATGCTTACTTGAATGAAGTTGTTTTTCGTGCCGTGGCTCAAAACAATATCCTGAAAGCAATTAGAAGAAGCAGCACAGCGAAAAGACAAATGCTAAAAGTTGCTGATTTATCACGGTATATCAGTGTTCTTGTTTGAAAGTTTTGATTATTTGGTGATGAAATAAATATACCATCAGGATAATCTATTCATTTAACTGCTGATTGATAACTTACTGTTAAAAAAGACTTCTGAAAGAATAAGTTTCATTTTGTTTTTAAAAATTATGCACATATATTCTCGCATATAAGCTGAAACTCAAAAATAAAAATCGCTAAACTAAAGGGTTGACGCTAATAACTCTGTACGCACCTAAAATTGGGCTTATTTGGCAACCATTTGCTGTGTACGTTACAATTTGTAGGGCTTATAAGCGAATTTTAATAAATTCACCGTTAAGGCTGTTCTTAGGAGGTCAGCTTATATGTAATGTATGGTAATACTTTTGATGGCTCATTAGCAGGGCACATTACCACGGCACCGCTTTTTTATTTCAAAATTTTCATAGCAAACTTTACACAGATCTTGTCGCACAGTTGTCGACCTTTTCTTCATTCAGGTTAGATACGTTTGGAATTGTTCATAGAACAAGCCGTTACACAGAACACTGCTTTTGACAATGTAGCTAAATTAAAATCAAACCTGCTGTATTTATGGCAGCTCAATAGCTTCTACTCAGGGCATCATTCAGATAGCAGTTGAGACCATATTTCTACACCATATATTGCGGTATAGCAGTATATATATATATTTTTTTTTTCAAAAGTTTTCATTGGCTTTATTTCACGAACTGAGATCTTTTGCATCAACTTGGGCTAAAACTTCTTGAGTGTAATCATCTCATGATATCCTTTTTAGTAAAATGCTTACTATTTTCACAGTATCGTCGTTGCCAGGCTCGTGAGATTTACAGAATTGGCACAATCGGCCACTTCCAATTTGAAAGGGGCAATAAAGGATGGCCTTGCTGCAGTAGATGGAAATAACAACAAAGAAAATCTTGACAATGTTTCCGAAAAATCAGCTTCTAAACGTACTTCTCAAAGAAAGAGTACAGAGGGTAACACTCTTAAATACAATATTAACATTTAATTACAGATATTTGATACTTGAATATGTTATTAATGATTTCAACTTTCTGCCTTTCAGAACTCGACGCACAAAGCAAAGTCGTGAAATCTCACATTTCTGCCTTGTTACGCACTGGACGTGATGACAGGCGTGCTACGCTGGATGACGTATTTATTTCATTTGAACGTTTACGCTGTGATGTCCTCGACGACTTATCAGATGCTGCTACTTTGGTGAAACAAACTTCTGATCTCGGTGATGATCGTGCTTTGTGGCTGCTTAATTCCGCAAATGCGCGATTTTGTGACAAAAACGCAAGTCATGCAGAAGAATTGAAATGCTGGACGGAGTCGGAGATAGATCACAGTGAAATTGAAAAAGATTTTTCAATTATTGAACGAATTGATGGAAGCGATCATAGTAGTGATACATCACAGCATACGGAGGAAGTTGCATCACTTTGGCCAGATCTCAATCGAATATTGCTGAACCGCGAGCAAACCGAAGATAAAAGTTCCAAAAATAATGGCGACACAGCACGCAGTACCACTGAGCTATCGGTAGGTTAGCATGGCCATTTCAAAGAAAGACCAGAGCAATGCTAATTTGTGGATTCAAAGGTTCATTGACTAACCGCAGTATTTGTAGCCTATGCCCTTATGCTACTTGTTCTAAAATTTGTTATTTGATCATTCAAAAGCTTCAAATCCCATCGTGGTAATTCACATCGTTGCTGGGAAAAAGTCTCAGCTGATCAGTGAGCACCGGTTTTGTCCAAAAGATGACGAACTGGCGTGGTGACGCAATGTATGTACAAATAGCAAAATTTGCGGTGAAATAACCAGCCTTATATAATTCATAGGGGATTCGGGTAAAAATAATATCCTTCTAGCAGATCCAACCATCTTTGAGTAAAAAAATTCAAAACGATTGGTTCATTTGTTACTGAGAAAAACAACAACAATTTACGTAGTAAAATGATCCATATTTACACATCGTGTCCAATAAGAAAATATGTATGAACTTGACTATGGGCGTTTTTAATGGAACACTCAAACCCGCGAACTCGACTTTGTTATGTATAATATTATCCTAATTATTCTTGACATAATAACTGTGCTTTTTCACAGGAAACGGATCAGCAGTCAAATGTGGAAGAATCGCTCGCGAACGCTTTGTTGTTGTCTGAAAGAGCAAAACAATGGCAAGATGGAAGCATTCCACATCCCAGTTCTGGAGTCATTGACAAATCGATGGAATCGGGTTTGAATAAAACACAGAGTGCTGATACACGAAGCTTTGCTACTTGTGTAACCCGTCCCAATGATTCAAAGAGAATTACTGCACTGGATGCCGTAAAACAATCATCTGATTTGAGGGATGTTTCCATTAAATCTCCTCCACCGAGTGCATCTGGTCGTTTTACAGCTAATAAAATCAACACAGGAACACAAGATTTAAAATTTGGAAGGTATTTCTTATAATTTCATGGACAATTAGCAATCTCATACTCTATTTGGCAACAGATTAGTGTCAGCATTTCATACTTTTGGTGATTTTTTGGGCGATTACACCATTTGAAGATGTGAAATGCAATATTCACTCGTAACAAAAAATAGACCGAACTTAAAACGATTTTTAGCTAAAATTTCAATGCGATATTCACCAGGGTGTCCCAAAATTAATGAAACCCATAAATACGAATATCAATTTTGTGAGCTTCATTTATTTTAGGAAAACCTATTCAAAACTTCAATAAAAAGTTGAAAAATCAGAAAATTATGTTTCCTTCATTTTCTGAAATAGTTTTTTTCAAGTTTCAACCCTTTGGGCTAAAAACCATTTTACCATATTACAACATTTTAACATCAATTTTTTTCTGTTCTTCATTAAGAAATGAGTTAGTTCAAGAGGAGTTGATAGAGGAAATTAATAAAATGACTGAAGAAGAATTACCACATAGATTTCACAGCGTTTTTAAATTAACTTCTTTAACGGTAAGCAAGTACAAACAATATTCAAATTCTGAGATTTTGTTACATATAAATCAGATATGCATTCATAAACTAGTTTTGGTGCTCCAGAAGTGTGTGTACCAATATGGAGGTAACTAATTTTGTCCGCCTACTTTACATCAAGTTGTGTAAAGGGACTGAAACCTATGGGCATTCACTATTCTAACACATACAGCTCCTGAACTCTTAATAGAACTAAAAAAAAGAAAAATCTGAATAAAATTATGGCCTAACCTTAACCTGGTACACATACTACTTGAGTACCCTAGTTTTTGTCATTGTAACTTCTATGTATCCCAATTGTAGTGAAAGTTCATCGAAATCGAGAGATTTAATTCAATAAAATCATTCCTATTTTTCCTCGTTGTGTTCAGGATTTCAAGCAAGACAAGCACACAAGGACAGCTCTTCAAGCAGACAAAGGCAAGGGAATGTTGCAATGTATATTTGGCACCGATATGACAGAGTGAGTGTAATAGGCTGATTTGACGATAGGAAAATCTAAATATTTTTTGTGCTGGTTTACTGTACTGTAAGTATCATTGACTGAAAATTATTTACAAAACCTGATCATCTGAAAATTGCCTTCATGGTTGTATCTTCTTAATCATCATTACTGGATTAGAGTACTATATAAACACATCTTGCCTCAAATTTGCCAATGATGACTATTTTTTAATTTTACTTTTCAGATGATTCATTGACAATAGTAAGAACTGAATTGTCATTTAACTACTGATAATCTAAAACTTTATATCTTGATTAAAATCGATTTTGGAGCCTGCTTCATCTATTGTCGTGCACTTCAAATTTGTTTAACTTCTGTTCTGTCATTCTGTTCATAAGATGATATAGTTAAAGTAAATTTTTCGTCCATATAAAATTCTCGGTGCAAGTCACAGCTCATTAAATTAAATGCATTTTCCAAAATCTTATCAAGATATTTTTTGAACGAATAGTTATGTGATTCACAAAATCAGCGAATTCAAACTTGTTTCAGGGTTGAAATGGTCGAAGCATTTCACGACAATATTCGGACTTTGTTGAAATGGCAGAAAAGTAGATTCCCTGTGTGGGCAGGACTTGTTGCTCGTCTAATGCTGATTTTGTTCACAGGTATGCCCTTTTTATAAAGATCGGCTGACCTTAGAAGCGTTTGTAACACAAAACCGAGATAGAGTTCAGTATTCTTAAAAAATAATTCAAATGCATTATATGTCAAATTTAAAACCCTACTCTACGGGTCGGCAACCTTTTGGCATTTTTTCCATCAACTTCAAACCTACTCGGAGCTGCAACATAGGATAGGATTTACATATTTATCCCGGGGGGGAGGGAAGGCGATAGGACGGCGCATCCATATGGCGAACAACGGCTTCTTGTCCGGTTACCATTCCAAGTCGGCTATGGGATTAGTTATATTGTTTGTTTTCGGAAGCATGGACTTGGTGGTGGAAGAAGCCATAACTGACCAGCGGTTACGTGAACCACCCAACGACGGCGAGGAGTCCAGCAATCCTCTCGCACATAATCATCCCTGCATGGGATTCGAACCTGCGAACCCGCGCAGAGTAATTAGAGGTGCGGTGGCGTATTCCTAACGCTTAGCCCGTTGAGGCACACCGCCGCGCCATCTACTCCAATGTCAAAGGCTATTAAAAAATTTTAGAAAACCACTTGAGATGCAATGAGCTAGTTCTTACTAAGAAACCAAATGAACTAAGGAAGGGAAAAGTCCTGACAGACCTAAATCACCTTATTGCGACCCATTTTTACCGCTCACGACTTTGGGAACTGCTGTGATGTGTAATAAGTGTGGGATATTTGGTTTTATGCCTCCCCCTTTTATTGAATCTTTACTGCTTCCAAAAAAACTGCTGTAACCACTTTGATTCACGGGGGCCTGAGCTCTGGGAACAAGAAGCCGCAGGTTGCCCATCGTTGCTCTATACTAATTTGTTTCATTGATAACAATTCACAGTGTATTTTATTATCTTTAGTTGGCAGTGCGATTGGTGCATGCTTTTTTCCATTCTTTCTTGAAGCAAGGAACTACGTTTTGTTGTCTGCAATTCCAGTAGCCATATTTGGGCACGGACTTGTGTTAGAACCTTTGAAATGTCTTTTCGTTTCATGGATAATGTTTTTATCAAGGTAAGTCTATGGAATATCAAAATTTTTGCACTTAAATATTGACACCTACTATGGCATGTCATCACAAATCATGAAATTAATTATAGAAACTTGCTGTAACTTGAAATGTCATTGAAATTTAAATCATTGTTTCGCAATCGGTTTGTATTCTTTTGTTTTTATCAATTATTTTATGTCTGTTATGCTAAGTGCTAGTTGAGTCATCGACCAGTATAGTTCTAGTTAAAAGGCGGGCAATTCGCAATTGGTTTCGAAATATAACACTTGATTTTAGCGGCAACAATTAATATTTTCAATATTTGTTCATATCTAGCTTGTAATCTTACTGAATTTTATTTACCACCAGGCATAAATCTGCTTTCCATAACAACCCTGTATATATGAAAAGCAGTGTACATCTTCTTCGACGAGCTCGACTTTCCCATCCGAGAGTTTCAGATGAGTTTCGAATAATAACAGAGGAAGATCCAGAGGAAGATATGAACGCAAAAGGAGACCTGGGTGACGAATACTATTACAAGTTTTGTGATAATAAAGCTAGTACTCGATTATTCGACAGAAGACGACGAAAACTTCCTGTGATGACAGAACACGATCTCTCACTGGATCTCCACGCTGTGACGTCATATGGTGCACTACCAGGCGCGATTCCGAATGAGATTACACCTTCCTCGTCAGAAGCTGTTACTTCAACACACAGTGCCGAGTTTATTTCTTTGCCACCAGATGAAACGTCGGATTTTGGAGGTTACAGACGTGATGCGATCGACATGGGTGGCAACAAATCTCAAAGTGTTTCTGTCACATCTTCTGATAAACCAGAGGATATGTCCAATTTACAGCCGGATGTAATCGCCAGCGAGTTGGATGTTGATTTGAGCTCTTCCATCTCATCAGAAGAAAAACCTAAACACACTCCTATTATTTATTGCAGATACAGCAATATGCCTTCTCAGTAACATAATATTTAATTCAAAATATATTTATCAAAGTGTATTTTTATTGCCTTACTGTTTCGAATAAATAGTAATGCTAAAATTTCACATTTGTGCTGTGACATCATATTTAGTAAGACGACATAGGCGTAGCCAGGCGTGGAGGGGAATGGTCCCTCAAAATTTTCAACATTTTTTCAATTCAATTTTGTGGCATTTGCAAGTTCGGCATAAATTATTTCGGCTTTCCAACACCATTTTACTATTTTTCAACGATTTACGGAAAACTGACTTTTTCCTGGCTTGCTATCAATTATCCTTTCACCAAATGAACCAGCCGAGATAGATGTAAATTTGCGCTTGTATACCTTGGATAACTTCGACAGCAGCGAAGTAAGTCTGTAAGAGATTCTTTGATATATTGTTAGATATCAGTAGCCGCCTTTATCTACCCTTGTTCGGAGAAAAAGGCACAAATAAGCATTGTATTACGTCATTATACAAAAAAATATTTGGTCTGGCTATGCACTTGTGTAAGGACGAATCACATTTCCCTAGTCGGCGACTTGAATGGATTCATGTTTCGCGATATCCGACAACAACTCATTAAATATTTGTCAAGTCACTATACAGCACTTTACTTATTGAATTTTACGTGTGACCTTGCTTTGGGGATTTTATCATTGATAGTGACAAATGCAAATATCTCATCATTTTTTCGGGAAGTTTGCTTGTCACTTCTGATCAAGTAATGTTTGATTTTGTGTCAAATACCAATACTATTATCAACATACTAATAGTGGTAACGATTAGAACTATGCATGGGCGTTATAATATGGTAGGCAATGAAACCAAAGTCTACGAAACATAGTGAGCGCAACGCATAAGATATCGCTACATTGTGGTTATTTGGTCCACTACGCATTTTGAATGATTTACACAAGAAAATGATAAGGTTTACTAATTACATGCACTAACGAGAATGTACTTTTATAAAAGTGCAAATCTGAAATATTTCTGACAAAAGTAAGGTCGAAGGGAATAATTGTTTAGCATTTTTAAACAGGAGTTAGAATTTTCTGTGAATCAGCATTACACATTGTCGATCCCGCTCTCGGGGATTCGATCAAACTACCGACAATATCGGAAATGATATCGAATTAAATAAGTGACCTATGTATATATTAGCTGGTAAGTGGATAGAAATAACAATAGCATGTCGATTTTTAAAAGAATGTTTTGTGTAGTCGCTTCTAACAACAGTCAGCCATTGTTCTCAAAGGAATAAGCTTTTCACAGCTGAGATATCGTCTTTCATCAAATTCGCCTCATCGATGTGCTGGGATAGATGATCGGATTGACGAAACCTGGTGCGTTGTAGATAGCTGTCAGTAGAGAAGTTTTCGGAAGCCTGATTACCTAATGTATTTTTAGGCAATACATAGAAATATCTAATAAATGATGTAGCAATGCTATTCCAATCGCAAATACTGCAGACACAGGCAGGCAGGATTTGTCACAAGCGAACGAACTAATGTTATTAACCATCATTGAAAAATCATTACTAACTACAATTGTACGTTTAAACGCATAGTAGGTCGTCGAAATCTGGCAACAACACAATGTTCGATGGCGAAACACTCCTTTGTTTCTGTTACAGAACAATGTACAGTAAACATACTATTATGAATCACAATGTCAAAACTTTGGAGTGCATTTCAAAATTTTGTTGCCAAGAAACGGAAGTAAAGTTTTATCCAAATACGGTGTAGAATAGGTCATTCTGTTCTTCTAATTCAGTTTCCAGTTTAATAGTGTAGAAAGAGAGAAAGTTCATCGATGTAAGCAAGCCGTAGTGGGTTTGGTAGATGCATAGCGTAAAGTAAAGTATATTCAGCGCGAGCATCGTCTCTCCCTGCAGCGGTCTTTGACTCGTTCAATTTTTATTGATACCTCTGGTATTCATTTGGCATGGGTTCGACTCAATCGTATTTTTATAGTACAGTATTGGATCATAGCTAACTAACGTTAAACAATTCCGATTGGAAAGCAGACGATAATCGTTCGACTGCGCGATAGCGGGAATCAATAATAAGTTGGGAGAAATCGCACTTGCGCTTATTACCGCCTGTGTTATTCAAAATGTCTTGCAACGCCTGCTTAAAAAGTTGCGCCTGTTACCGACTACCGAGTCAACTTTGGTATTGGTCACATCAAGCAGGACGGCACAATTGACAGTATTCCAAGAATAAATAAATCATATAAGTTAGTTAAGTTACAAAGAAGTCGAAACGGATGATAAGTTAAAAGATAAAACAGGTAAAGCAATGCATTCCACGGGGCCGCCCGTGCTTCGCGTTCAACGGTGCTTCTTGAATGTTATGACAAACTAATTATCCTCGGGAAACTACCCTTGTATATCATTTAAATTAAATGGTGCACTTTTTTCGATACTGGATGCTACTGCGTTCCTTTTGTATTGTTATATTTCAAGAGATCGAAACAGCTGCATCCATTACTTTAGTCAGCTGCACGAAGACTGCCGGTTTCCAATTTTGTATTTTAAATAGAACTTTAAAAAGGCCCGTCGTGGATTAGAGCAATTAATATAATGTACGTCTTTTAACGAACGATTTCCCAGCGGAGAGTTGCGTTGCCTTTCTGGAAGGTCGTAACTGCGTACGCGGTTTATACCCGCCATATCAAGGTTCTTGGTAGACGTCTTTCAATCATGTACCCGTGTACGCTATGACCTTCGTTTACGTTAGGTGGGGGGTGAATTATTCAAATCGATATGGCAAATGAACAGTGGCAAGATTATGATTTGATTTGGATGTCAGAATTTGAAATTATTATAGGATTACTGCGCATTCCTGCAGTTAGCTAGCGCTTCTACGTGTTTACTTCTAATCTATTTCATTGCGCTATATTATATCTATTATATTGTAAGAAACCCAAGTCGTTTTAATTTTTTTGCATGAAATAAAATATTCCTAGCTTTGTTGTACTATCAGGCATAGGAACTGAAAAAATCGTAGTATTTGCAAAGTTTGAATTCATCTGACTTTTCATTATTTTGACCATTTCCGACCAAATGCGACACTTTTGTACACATCCTAATATGCATTTGATATTCCCATTCTGTTTTAGTTCAGCGTAGGGTAAGATCCAACCTTTTATAAATTTCACCTTGGATCTACCTTACGTGTCATATGATCGTAAGAAGGCTTTGAAACACTTAAATATCTAACTATGAATTTATTTACTTAATTTGAAGCAATATATATACAAGATCCATGTGACATCATTTTAATTTAGCGTTACGTATATCGAGCGGGTTTATCTATTTACTCAACATTGTGAGATTGGTGGTGGCAAAACTTCCTTTTAAATTACTTCAGTACTTTATATGTATTATTCCTACTTCAGTTTGAAATTGTAAAGGACAAAAGATCGTTGCACTTTTAGCAGGAGTACTTGACTAAACATCGCGGGCACTAATGAGCGTCTGAGTTTCTTATGGTGAGCGTTTCTCAAGGTGACTTTGCCACTCCTTGTTAGCGTTCTCGGCGAAGTACACACACATATAATATAGCTTTATTTGCTGTATTTTCTGAAATGGTAATTGGGCTTATACTCTCGGCTGAGAAGAGCAAGGTTGTAAATTTTGTCTATATGTGTGTGGCTCACTGCGTTTAGTTGGTAATAATAAATAAATAACATTTTAAGAGCGAGATTTACTCAGAAATATTATGAGATATTCCGATAGCCCGATATAAAAATCGAAACGTCGAGTGATGCCTAACCTTGTTCGCGAGGAATAAAAAAAAGTTCACACGTTTTTTGCTTTATAATCTTATTTCAAATATATGATTCCGTTATGTCCATTTTTCATTCTCCTTGATTATATTCTATATTGCAAGATATAAGTTATAATATGTCGAGTTGGAATAGAAGTAATTTGGTATGAGCTATAGAATATGAGACTAAATCCACGACAGTTTATTGTTATGATCTGTAATATATGTTAGGAGTGTATAACTATTAATAGCATCTACAATCAGTACAAATGCTTGATAGATACCAGTTATGTAGACGGCATTCTGACGTAGACAAAAAAGGGTTAGTGAGCAAACTCTCAACGCTTTGCGTTCAATGATTTTCTTTGTGAATAAAATATCTTTCCATGGATAGGCTGGGTATGTTATCACTTAAAATCTTATCTTTTTGATTATTTAACAGTTTGTTCCAGTTATATTTATCCCTACTTAGTTTTTACACACAACGCCATCATGAATAAGTGCATGGAAAAATACGCGGCCAATGATGACTATCCTGATCTTAGTACTCACAACAATCACATGGCGCATGCACTCACTAAAGAGGTCTACGATAAACTAAGATTGAAAACAACTCCGACCGGTTTTACTCTAGACCGCGCAATCCAGACTGGAGTAGATAACCCAGGTATTCAAATTACGAATTGTTTCTTAGTTATATCGTAGAACAATCGATTTATCACTGGACATGTTGACTGTTTATATATTAAATGATATCCATTTAATAATGACATGTTCGAAAAAATATTTTGATAACACTATTTTAGAGTCTTGTTTCGTCATAACTATATTTCATTATGCATTTCACGAAAACGAAAGCCACTGGCATTTACGTAAACCTGGAAAAATGTGGTCTTAAAGATTCGGTAAATCAAGAGGTGTGAGTTGAACTTGACCTCCCAACTAAAGAATCGGTCAGCTGGATTGGATAATCGTTTTGTAATTAGGCCAGAAAGTTGAAATAACCGACTCGCGAAAATCGCAAATCTCAACATGTTAGGCTGGGGGAAACGTGAAGACGGTTTCAAATTTACAATTTCAGATTAAATAGCATTTTGTAAAACACCATTCCCAATATATTATGATAAATCTGTTCACCGTTATGATCAACTATGGCCTCCGACAGATATATTAAAAAAAAAACGCCCGATCTGCCTATGGAGGGCGTATAGTGGGAGGCGGCCTACCGCACGCAGACTCATTTCGACATTCTCCATAAAGGTCACCTTGTTAACGTCTCCTCTTGTTTATTTTCTTCTATGGTACACATTGCATAAAATCGAATATTTTATCATAGCACACACCTTGCGCAACGCGTGGTCTAATAAAGATGAACGTAATGTGTGACATTAAACTTGTGGTCGAGTCCAGGCGAAGTCGTCTCCTCTTAATTTGACAGCTAACCTGACCGAAGTCACGTATCCGTTATGTAAATTGAAAATTTAACGTTAATAAATATTCGTCGGTTTGTTTTACAGTGTAAACGAATTACCGTTTATGAGAAATCACGTTCGGTTAAGTATGGCCATAGCTTCCGACTGGCCTTTAAGTTATCATGATGTAGTCCACGCTAGAGCGAGACAATCTCTGACATAGCTAGTGACGTCACATTTTTGAAAGCCAGCAAATGCATTTGATAGGCGCCAACAACAATAATTGTCAATAGCTAACAAATATGGGAATGCATATTCAAGTGTGAAGCTGAATATAGCGATCAATCTTTTAAACCATGTTTTTCAAAAAAAAAAAAAAACGCAATAGGGTGGAATGCACCTCTCACAAACAACGCTTGGTAACGATTGTTCTTTGATTGCCCCTTAAATTGTGATATTGGAATTCCTAAAATGAGTGAGCTATTAAAGGTTTAGAATTTCACTTTCCTTCGATTCTCTAGATTTCCATTCTGAATGATGGTGATTTCTTAGTGCTTTTGTGCATTTCTGACATTATAGATAAATCTACATTATAAGAAAGGTCAGATTAAACCGACAGGTCGTTGCTTACGCACTCGGAGATTTAAAAAGTTAACAAAAGAGAAATCCGGCTTTCAACGTAATTAAAATATTGACAACTAATCGAACAATGCAAAATATATGTTGAAGTCGCGCGACCGGCCTTATCTTAGAAACGCACAATGTCGCTTTCAGTAAACTTCAGAATAAAAGAGCACGTATTTCGTCGATTGCCACCGGTATTACGAGCATTTGAGTTAATTAGTAAGAAACCTAGACATAGCGAGGTAAAGCGCAGAACTTGGGATGACTCTCATAAAGGTGTGTTATTCTCACTGTGTTTCAATGGGTTTTAAATTATATTTATGGGTAAGATTAAGAAAAACACCAACGGCTCCAAGTTAAGAAGTTCGATTGCTATTCTGCAGTTGTTCCGTTAAATTTAATTTTACATACAAGTTATTTTAAAAACTGAAATTCTGGAACTGCATTTGTTCACTTTATAAAGAAAAATAAATACACGTTGGAGAATTACAAACTCCCAAATTGATTCACATTTTTTGATATTTCAGGACATCCATTCATCATGACAGTAGGATGTGTAGCTGGAGATGAGGAGAGTTATGACGTGTTTGCTGAATTATTTGATCCTGTCATCGAAGCTCGCCATAATGGTTACAAAAAGACTGATAAGCACAAGACTGATCTTGATCCAGCACATTTGAAGGTAAACAGACTAAAAAAGGTCGAATGAAATCAATTACAACTCTAAAAGAAAAAAAGTTGAATTATCATTAACCAATGTGTATCTGAGAATTCTACTGTTGCTGGATGTGCCAAGTAGTAGTAACCATTCTGCAAAAATAAGCGCTCTATTAATTTGACCTACTCAAACTATGTAGATATGGGAGCAGAGGGGTCTGAAGAATCCGCATAGCATAGTAAGTTCCACTATTCTTAGTGAAACGAGCTGGCACTTGTAACCAGGATTTAAACCCACGATAACTACATACGAATACGAACAAATGTTAACAACAAATTGTTTGTTACTATCATTCACGAATTTTAAAATTTTTGAAGGGAGGAGACAAGCTCGACGAAAAATACGTTCTTTCCTCACGTGTCCGCACTGGACGAAGCATCCGTGGATTGTCGCTGCCACCACACTGCAGTAGGGCAGAGCGACGTAAGGTCGAGGAAATTTCATGCAAGGGTAAGAATCCAGAATTATTATTACAGAATTGAAAAAATAACTGCTGGAATCAAAATTGTTTGACTATTGCTATTCAAAGCAATTTTGTGTCACGTAATTCTTGTAAATTTATAATTACTTTTTTTTCGTTTCAACAACAGCTTTGGCCAAATTGGATGGCGAATTGAAGGGAAAATACTACCCTCTAAGCAAGATGACTGATAAGGAACAAGATCAGCTTATTGAAGATCATTTCTTGTTTGACAAACCAGTCTCTCCTCTTCTTCTGGCATCTGGTATGGCACGTGACTGGCCCGATGGTCGTGGAATTTGGTAAGAATGGAATAAATTTTGATAAAGCGATGCTTAGTGTGTTTGCTTTCTCTCAAGCTGATGAAATTGAGTATCACTGTTACACTCAATCGAGAGGATTAAGATTTCGCATACTTTGTAAGAATTAAAGCATATGATCAGATAAAGTACAGGTAAACAGACTTAATTTACGTAAGATTTATACAAAAAAAAAATTATTTATGAAAGGCACAATGACAAAAAGAACTTCTTGGTCTGGGTAAACGAAGAAGATCATCTTCGTGTTATCTCCATGGAAAAAGGTGGAAACATGAAAGATGTCTTCAATCGCTGGTGCAAAGGACTTACACAGGTATGATGACAATAACTATATCTGTAGTTACAAACTTCCATATATATACCTTAACAGAAGAGTCAAAAAAGTTTAAAAGTTTAATCGTCCACCCATGTCAGCTTAAGTTTTTATGTAGTTCTTATGACGTATGTTATATGTGAATGTGTACCTGACATGGGCAAACTACGGCCCGTCGGGTAATCTTATCTGGCACGCCTGATGCTGCCACAACCAAACTAAAACCAAATTGTGATGTTTTAGCTGAAAATAGCTCGAGCATTTTGTTGATATTGCGATTAAATTTAGTTTTGGCACGAGTCGTATTGTTTCCACCATTGCTTTTGTAACACTGTAAACATTGTTCATAATTGTAACTTTTTACGTCATACTTACATGGCTGAATTCAAAAATCCATTGTCTTCATTTTTAGGTTGAAACGTACATGAAAGAGCTGGGATACGAATACATGTGGAATGAACATCTTGGCTTCGTTTTGACATGTCCCAGTAACCTCGGAACCGGTGTTCGCGCTGGTGTCCACTTGAAAATCCCCAAACTTTCGGCTCATGCCAAGTTCGACGAAGCACTCAAGAAACTTCGTCTGCAGAAGAGAGGAACTGGTAAAAATTAACTAGTGTTTGCAACTATCTAAGAATTATTTAAACTATTATTATTGACGATTGTGCAAATTTCAAGCCACCATTTGTTTAATATGCGTGGCACGGAAGACACACGGTGGCACACGTTCGTCATTGGTAAATGTCTCGCTTGCTTTTTAAAAACTACATAATATCAGCTCTTTTTGGATAACCTATAAACGCTACCTAACGTATAAATTTAAATTTTTCGCTTCGTTTATAAAAAAAACTGTATCCAAATCATAATATTCTCTCTGTTTTAGGTGGGGTCGACACAGCAGCTGAAGGTGGTACTTTCGACATTTCAAACGCTGATCGACTCGGTTTCTCCGAAGTTGAACTTGTGCAGATGGTGATCGATGGTGTTGAATTCATGATTGAATGCGAAAAGAAATTGGAGAAAGGCCAATGCGTTAATGCTGATATCGATAAACTAGCACAAAAGTAAAACAAATATAATCTGACAAAAACAAACAGGCATAAAATAGAAAAAAAAGTATTAATTTATTTATTCTCATTTTTCGTTATAATCTATCTTCAAACTCCTTTAATTAAACAAATTTGTAATGCTGTGTTCAATATCTAATATAATTTTAATGAAATAAACTGATTATTCCTTCATTTGTTTGTCTAACTTGTGAAAATGTTCGGTGATGGGAGACAGAGTTAGAATCAGATCTATAGCAGAAAAAAAGATACATACGAAGCCTAGTGCAGCGTTTCCCAACCTTTTCTGGTAGCGGACTATTTTCTCGCCGGCGAAAACCTTTGCGGACTCAACGTGCGTTTATTGCAACCACAATCTGTGTGCAGAAGTAATAAAACCAAACACAACCGAATTTTAAAATCGGAAATTCGCCGCAATTGCGCGTTTGTTAAAAGAGTCGACTTCTTTCGTGTATAAATGGCCCTTTCGGTCGCACAATATTCAATCCATGACAACAAAAAGAATTCAAAATGTCTTTCTATTTTCATTTAATTGTGTTCATGGTCACTCGCGGTTGCGTCAACTTATGACAAGAGAAAGCATTACGTCTTTAAAATGTCACCGCAATCTGCGAACATAATAATGTGAGAATATATTGCCCGTTTATAGTTAGTTTTGATACATATTTTTTGCGATCTTGAGAATTTGTTATCGCCATTAGAAAAATCCTAATATCTGCTATAAATTTCCAGAAAGTACAACTTGATTTAGTACTTATTATTAAAAATATCAATAAAGTATATAAACTAGTAAATCAATGAAAATATTCATCGCCTCGCTTTAATATTCATTTAATAATGATTATTTTAGTCCGCGGTGGTGTTGACGAAATAAAAGCAACACTACTCAGAAAATATCATGACTATCCGTAGACACAAAAATGCGTGGTAAACTGCCGGATTATATTTTGTTTTGAATGGTATTTTTGTGAATTCGACAAATCTGAGCTATTCGTACAACCCTTACGGTTTAGGAGCCACATGGCTGTACGTACCAGTGTGGAGGCAGTAAAGCAAAGAATCCTAAAGGAAAATACCCTGGTACGTGTACTACGGTAGCACCCGAAATTTTGCGATTAGCAATGTCTAAAAATTCGTTTTTAATCGGTCGAGGACCATCATAAGACAAAACGTATGGTGTTCTTCGTTTTATTTTCAGTATATATTTTGTATTGCCGCTTTTTCAATTTAGAAAATTAAGGGCCACCATGGACACCTACCGCGATGCGCAAGTCGCGTCACCTGTTATCAAATTTTCGAATAGTAAATTGTTATTCGAATATATGCCCAGCCTTACTCAGTATCCAGTAATTATTGACTCGATTAATGTTGCGTGAATAAACTTGCTTTTTATGTTTTATGTAAATTCTAACGTAAACCTTAACTTGACTGATGGTTAAGTTTCGCAAAAACGTTTGCGGCCCGCAGTGAATTTCGGGCTCGTTGTGGACTCATTCAAACTCTCCGCGGACTCGGGTTGGGAAACACTGGCCTAGTGGGTACTCCCGTAGTGTGTGTTGTGTACCAGGTTAGGGTAAGGGCATAATTTTATTCCGATTTTTCTTATTTTAGTTCTATTACGAGTTCGGGGACTGTCTGTGTTAGCCATGTGAATATACCATAGGTTTCAGTCCCTTTACACAACTTGATGTAAAAAAGGCGAACAAAATTAGTTAACTCCATATGGTTCGTTGAAAGATTGTGAGGGGGTGCCTGACTTGCCCCATTCACGCTGTCTTTTGCTAGCTTGCAGGGTATCCATAATTTGAGTCAAAACGGGGTGGGAATCCCTTTTCACTACTTTTTGGACATTGTAACAAAATTTTCTCAATTTTTCAACATATCTAATGATCAAAAGTTATAAGCAAGCATAAATATGTGTGATTTACCGTTAAAAAAAATTATGCCTTTTTAATGAAAATGTTACAAAAAATGGCAATTCATGATGAATACCGACGAGTCGCATTGAAGGTTCGCGAGTTTGTCAGTCCTGAATTAAAACTTTCTAGTTTTCTTATCTTATATATCGCCGGATGAGAACAGAAAGGGCCTAAGTCACATTTTTGCAGGTATTTACTAAGTGTGAATATCTAGAAATTCAAAAATAAAAAAAATCCAAATTGTTTTTTGCGTTTTTCTCAAAACTCAAAATTGTGACTTAGGCCTATTCTGTTCTCATCCGGCGATATGTATAACTTATATTATCGTGGTAGAATGGTGTCGCGAAACAAAAACTCTGCTCTATAGCAAGGTTTCCCAACTTTTTTTCGCTGTGGACCCCTAAATTTTGTTCAAAGTCGGATGGATCCCCAAGTGTTTATTGGATATATCCAAGTTAAATGACTTGCTGTCTTAATAGAACTATTCAATTCTAGTGTACTCAGTATTATTATCATATATATTCAATTTTGGACTGCCATGGAGGTATTCCTGTGGACCTTGCTTGTCGAGTTTGAGCTTTTCGTTTGATTCGGGTACTAATTTTGCATATATATTCATTGCGATACTAATTTCAAATATTCGATGATCAAAGCATTTGAATTAGTGTATCAATGATAGGGTAGCTTATTCAATTTTTTTTATTATTTCCCTTTTTAATTCATAACCCTAAGATACCTCGAACAGATTGGAACGCTTTTTATCACCCAGTACCCAAAACAACAAGTTCAATTTAAAAGTTTAAAAAGCTTTAATTTTATAACAAAAATTATTGGTAAAAAAGGAATCGAGTTCCGTGGGGTCAAGTCCTTTGCTGCTTTGCGAATGAATGAAGTAAAATCGAGAAGCCATTCTCCGCTGAATTGTACGTTGGTAGATTAATTATGAATGGACAAACAGAAATGAATGGATTTGTCATTGGTAAGTGTCTTCGCGGTGACTAATACAACAAATTCGGAGTTATTCAATACTTTTGATAAATTCTTAGTCACATGATGTTCAAATAAGACAGCCTGCTAGTGTCAACATGAGACCGTTCCTACTTCCAAAGGCCATAAACCTTTTTGTGATCCAATTTAACACTAATCTAAGTACGAGTGCTCTTTCGTTTGTTTCAGTTTATCCAACAACATGAGAAAGGTGCAACAACTCTTGATTTTCATGTAGTATATATGGTTCCATTACATTTGAACCCACGTACATTTGAACCCATGACAATTGCACCTGTATGCTATTGCACCTATGGAATTTTTTTTGTTTCACGGATAGTTAAACCCATACTAACCCTAACCCATGAGTTTTAGCACCCGCATATAGATTGAACCCGTGGATATACGCATGGGTTCAAATGTACATGGGTTCAAATGTACGGTCACCAGTATATATGTATAATTCCTGTGTCAAATATCTTACAGTAAATATACCTATAAACGTGGCTGGTGAAATTCCAACCGCGCAGTGTCATAATAAAACGAAATATATATTGCAATTGAAATGAATGTCAGTCGTGTCGTAAGTAACGAGTTTCATATTTTAATTAATTCGGATTCATAACGTTATTGCAAATATTATACAAGAGAAGGGAGGTGTTGGTTGCGCATGTAAGCTGATTGATTGAAAAATAATCCGATTTAAGATAATCAGTGACAAAATGGCCATCCGCATTCATTAACAATTATCCATATCTCCACATGCACATGATTAAATCTGCCAGTATCAGGGTTTATACGTTTACAGCAAATTGGATATTGATTCTTGAAACCGAATAATACTTCTTCAATATTGATGCGACGCGTACGTCGTACGAATTAACGATTTGGTCGCCGGGAGTACTTTCTATCTCGTTCGGATCGATATAGGCGAAAAAGGCGAAGCCAAACCATAAATACCGGTTCAACTCAAGGACCTTCAGTACATTTGTTGAATTACTACTACGCAGTCTTTCTACGACAAATCTTTACCGACACCATGGCAAACTCAAGAGCCTCTTATTCTAGCCAAGAAGAATATCCAGATTTAAAGAATCACAACAACCACATGTCAAACTGTCTCAGTGAAGAAATCTATGCAAATCTGAAGAACAAAACAACTCGTAATGGATTCACTATCGACAATTGTATCCAAACAGGAGTGGACAACCCAGGTATACTATTAGTATTGTATGATAATTTTTGTTTTTTTTATAAAAATTGTTATCTGTTATGAACAAAAATTCTGGTTTGCTTGTAAGTACGCTGCAAAAATATGATCCACAAGACACCGCCCTCTGCAACGCTACCAGTTGGGTCCTGTTTCGTTATCAACAATTTTTCCATATTACTGAAATTTACTTTAGAAAAATTTCGACACTTCTTTAAATCGCATTAAGTTTGGAGCTCAAACCTATATAAATAACAAGCTGAAACTGGATTGAGATTGGAAGAAACATTTGTAAACCAAAACAGAACTATATATACGTGTGGAAATTATATCGATTAGTTTCAGCGTCCAATGCACTCACTCAAATTGGTTCATTCCCTCATGCATAATTCACGTAGCACCCAGCAAAATTAAATATTAATCTTTCAAAATGGTTGTATCGATGCACTGCGTGATTTCAACACAATATAGGCTACTTTCCCCAATTCTTAGACGACAGCCTGTCTGTTGATAACTATACTAGTAGAAAATTTGCATTGGCACCTCTGTTTATAGCATAGTTACCAATGGAAATACGACCGGAAACCTGATTGAAATGAATTTGACACTTCAAACTATGTCTACAAAAGTATAAAATTTTTAAAGCGCTGGTAAAAACAATAAAATAATATTAAATGAACTTTAATGAAGGTTAAACTATAGGACCCTATTTTATATCGCTACATATCAATACTCAGTCGGCCTGTTGTATTTGTCTAGGACACCCGTTTATTATGACCGTTGGATGCGTGGCAGGAGATGAAGAAAGCTACGAAGTATTCGCAGATTTGTTTGATCCTGTTATTGAAGCTCGGCATAATGGATATAAAAAGACTGATACTCATAAAACCGATCTCGACCCATCTCATATCAAGGTAACAATCTTATTCCAAAGCCGTTTCTTTTGTTAGTGGAGAAAGTGTATTAAATATAATATTTGTTTACGCATTCTCAGGGCGGTGACAAGTTAGACGAGAAGTATGTCCTCTCTTCCCGAGTACGCACAGGACGTAGTATAAGAGGTTTCTGTCTTCCACCTCATTCATCAAGAGCGGAGAGGCGAAAAGTTGAAAATATTTCATGCGAAGGTATATAATATTGAACTCTCCTATCAAGAAAAAGATTTGCTTGAAATACTGAGAAGCGAACGAATTCAAACAACTTTCATGTTGTTGTGCATCAATTATTAACATACAATATCTTGATATTTTTATCGCACAGCTCTTGCAAAACTATCTGGTGATCTGAAAGGAAAATACTATTCTTTGGCGGAGATGACGCCAGAACAACAAGAAAAACTGATTGAGGATCATTTTCTGTTCGACAAGCCAGTGTCTCCTCTTCTTTTGTCTTCGGGAATGGCTAGAGATTGGCCAGATGCTAGAGGAATTTGGTACGTATTGCCTGACATAATTTGAAATCACCAATCCCAAAATACTCAAATTCGAGAAATAAGCCACATTGAACCTAATATACGTTTTTAGGCACAACGACAAGAAAAACTTTTTAGTTTGGGTGAACGAAGAAGATCATCTTCGTGTGATATCAATGCAAAAAGGCGGAAATATGAAAGAAGTTTTCACTCGTTGGTGCAAAGGACTTAAGGAGGTAAATTTTATAACACCATTCGTTTATTATATATTATCTTACTTATTGCGTATGCATGCTCCTATATATAAATACAGAAACATTTAGTTTTAAGCGCTATCTTTCATGCAACATATAGTAGGGCGGGGGATGATGGCCCCCCTTATTGAAAATTATCTATATTTCGAAAACCTTTCTTCAAATATTCCTAAAACTTTGCAAGTACAAACATAAGGGGCTGAACTCTTTAGCCACTCGGCGGCGTCCGCCGGTCTCCAACCATCGCAACAGCAGAAACGTTTTTGAGCGAAAAAAAAATTCGGGGAAGTTGGACATATGGTCGGATATGACGGACACGTAATAAAATCGCATCAAAATACTAGTATTGCGTTCTGTTTCTTATCAGAATATCAAAATATGCAATGTATTTGGAAAATTTTTTGGGGCATTCGAAAATTCCCCCTATGTCCATCTTACCCCTTAAATTTTTGAAGTTGTGAACCCATATAATTGTTCACGAAAGTATGATAAAACACCACCTAGTAAAGCAGCCAAATTTTATTTGATCATACTTTCACACAAATTTTAATCATAACACCAAAAGAACATCTGGGATAGCATGAAAGCTATCGTCATGGAATTTTACATTCGAATGAAAATATTTATACAAAAAAGCTTCAAGCAGAGCAGTCATCACATTGGAAGGACACAATGTGTTTTCCATAAATCCCGGCACAAATATCGTGAAGCCACTTTTGGCATTTCTGGCACTGAATCCATCCCTCGTCCTCTTCGTGGTCAAAATATTTGACCTTGCAGACAGCACAGAGGTTACTGTAACAATATCTTTCATGTCGCTCATTCTTACGTTTATTTTCTTTTTTCTTCCTGGGAGCTGCAACTTTCTTAGACGAGCTAGATGACATCGTTTCTGCGAGTGCTGTAGTTTTCCTGAACGAGCTAGGTGGCGTTGTTTCTGCGAGTGCTGACAGTTCGGCTACATAATTCTCACTTGTTAACACTCTAATTCCTGCCTGAATGGCTTTCTTTGCCCCTTGGCTCTCTGAGTGGCTACTGGAAGAGGCAAATATATTCAAATGAAAAACTGGTGCTATCAGATCTCTGCTATTTTCTTGCCTCAAAGAATCACTGACGTTATCAGAAACTAACTGAACTCCTGGTGAAGTTCTACTTGAAAAAATCGTTAGAGAGCACAGAGCAGCATGGTTCACTTGTGACACTTTCTACCTCTGTCGTGGTGTTAACCTCATGAGATGGTACATCTTAGTCTCTATTTGTTATTTGCCTCTGTTTGATATTCTCTGGTATTTTCTCAACATTCTTTAGGATTTTCTGTTCCCGAGCATCCAAAACTTGCATCTGGAAAAACATGATAGTACATAAGGGTAAGATGGCCACCCCCCATAATTTCATAAGATTATTGAGATTATCCAAGAAGTGTTTTGACAGGTAAAAGCAATAACAAAATTAAAAAGAAGACTTTCTGGTATCTTATTCACAAAGAACGGGTTTGAACGGTCAAAGTAAATATAAAACCGAAAAACGCAAGAAATTTATTACCCCCTCATAACCCCCCCATTTTTACATGATCACATGCTGAAAGATATAGTTAGCTGCTAGATGGCACAAGTCGCTCAGTTAGTCCTAAATCATTGTCAGTAAGTATAAACTTACCAACAAACGCGCGATTCAGAGTTCCTTCGCTGAAAATGAGCATATAGTGCCTCCAAGAAAAACGTGTCCTTACTAAATGCCCTTTTTTCACCCTTCAAAAATCACAAGCCACGTGGAAAGCTACACAACTGACGAACTACGCCAAGCGCTGAACCGAAATGGCTAGAACGAATTCCCTCCTTAGCAACGAACTCGGCAATGGCATTTGCAGAACCAAGCCCCATAAGATGTCGCCAATAGGTCAATTTGAAAAAAAGTGTCCATCTAACCCCGTGTGTCTATCTTCCCCCGCCCTACTATATTGTTCCTAGCACAACAAAATATAACTCAAGCTTGGGAATTATTACAGAAGTTTGTCTAAAAGATGCAACATAAGCCATTTGCAAAATGACAAGAACTTATTATATAAACTTTACGGTGACCGTACATTTGAACCCATGTACATTCGAACCCATGTGTATATCCGCGGGTTCAATCAATATGCGGGTGCTAAAACCCATGGGTTAGGTTAGTATGGGTACAAATATCCGTAAAACCAAAATAATTCCATAGGTGCAATAGTATGCAGGTGCAATTGTCGTGGGTTCAAATGTACGTGGGTTCAAATGTAATGGAACCAAACTTTACTCATATATATATATATATATATATATGTTCATTATCCTCTTCGTACACGCACATGTACAAGTAGACGCGAGCATTAGTTGAAAAATTTCTTTTGTTACATAAAACTCTGTATGATGGGCATATGTTGACAAAGTATAAATTTTGTGTATAAATGTGTAGGCAAATTCTCAAACAGTGGCAACATTTTGAACAGTTGACGTATATACACTCGAGTACAAGTCCAGGATTAACACGTCTTTCTTATATCTTACAGTTTGAGAAAAACATCAAATCAGCAGGATATGAACTGATGTGGAATGAACATCTCGGCTATATACTTACTTGCCCCAGTAACTTGGGAACAGGAGTTCGTGCAGGTGTTCATCTCAAGATCCCACATCTGTCAAAACACGAAAAATTCCAAAGCTTGCTGAAGAAACTTCGGTTGCAAAAGAGAGGAACTGGTATTACTTTTATTTTATAAATTGCAAACTGCAGATTAATTATTCATGGATAGTCGTTGTGAGACCACAAAGAATTGAAATTTGCAAAACTGTACTTAAATTTCCATCGATACCATATGACTGGTTTTTGCGGCTGTTTAAAGATTTATGTATATTCATAATTATCTAGTTTAGAATAGTAATGAAGTACGATAGTTATGGTTAATTTATATAGACAGATACCACCTACCAATTCGCTCGTTAAACACTTCAACGCATTTTATTTGCTTTTATGCTTTGCCAAAAGAACTTAATGCTAGAAAAATATATTTAAAATTCGAACAGCATATGTTTTCAGAAATACTGATTTTAAGCCAGTATTTCAATAATTTTTCATTTAAAAACTCATTCGAATTCATAAAAAAAATCTGATTTTCAAAATATGCAAATTTTTTCTATGGATCACAGATTAATTTTCATACCCAATATATTTAATTTATAATCATCCAAAAACCTCATAATGGTTAGTGCTATAGTCAAGTCGGATGAGGTGTTAAAGTTTGTCTTTTGGTTCGGTTGGCAACACAGGCCCAGCACTCAACCAAGGGTGCAATACCAATATTATATAATATGAATCAAACTTAACTATTACGCGATATAATTTATATGCGTGAATATGGATTTCATTGATATTTTTATTTGAAATACAGGTGGAGTGGATACCGCAGCTGAGGGAGGAACGTTTGATATATCAAACGCAGATCGACTCGGATTTTCAGAAGTTGAACTTGTGCAGATGGTCATTGATGGCGTTGGATTTATGATTGAATGCGAGAAGAAGTTGGAGAAAGGTCGATCCATCGATGCTGATATCGATAAAGTTCAACAGAAATGAATATCGTTGTAAATATTGTTTTGAGTGTTCAAATGTTTATATATCCTCCATTCATATGTTTACGAAATTGGTACTAGTGATTTATGGTATTGTTTGAATATGACACAAGAAATACACTGCTTTTTAACCACTTAACAACGACGGGGTCGTTTTCGGGACATTGACTTTATTGCACTCCATAGTACGAACCAGGATAGCTAGAGAGAAAGCGGCGATTGTCCCGAAATCGTCTGTAACACTCCCTCGTTTGAGCCTATTTAGCGCCACCAAATGTTTCATATTTTGTGGTCAGCCATCTTTGTTTACATTGATGTCGGTTGAAATGTGATGTCGGTAGCAGTCGGATTTCGTCGTCTTTTTTGGGGTATAAAGCTTTACCCCAGAGAGTCGAAAAAAATCACAGTAAGAGGCCGTTGTGTGTACTTTCATTTGGTAAAAAGAGTTTTGCTTAACAATTAGTTGTTTACTGCTGACGCCAGTTTTCCCAACTGTCACTAAATCGTCCCATTCGTCCATGTTTTGCAGTTTAAGTTGTCTTTCATAAACCAAGACACTTGAAATTGAAGAGCAGAAATAGGAACATAATCTAATATGTTTTGAGTATGTGTAACTCTGTTATCGAAATTTATATATAGTGATGTTTAATTAGTTAAAATAATGTCTTTCCCTCTAAACCTGATAATATTTTGATCAAGTTTTGCTTCTGATATTGACTGGCTAAAGCCTAAAGTAATGATAATATTTTGATCAAGATTTGCTTCTGATATTGACTGGCTAAAGTAATATGCAGGAATTTCTTCAAATTGTTTAGTGGTAGAAGTAATTTATTCAAATAATGAAAAATGGATGAGAAGGAGAATTGGGGAATCCGCTTTCCACCTAGTGGGGATGTTAGCGAAGACAGTGACTGCAGCAGTAGCGAAGATGAATATGTACCACCGAAAAAGATTAGAGACTATGCCTTGTTGTCAGAAAGTTCAGATGACGAAGCTGCTAGTCAGGATATATCCATTGACCAGGGAGGAGAAAGTGATCAGGAAGCAAGAGGGTCAGGCGAGATGTCAGTTTCTTCCGTGGTTGAAGTCGAAGTGTGTATTGGAATCAATATCCCACGTAGGAAGCCCGTATGGAGGATTGTACAGGAAAGTGACCCAGAATCAGCACGAGAGCTGCCTGCATGGAAAGGCCGTGAGTATGAATCGGAAACAGTGCGAGCACCAATTGAATATTTCAAATATTTTTTTGACTCGGATGTAATGCACCAAATAGTTGCGGAAACCAATATCTATGCGAGCCAAAGCGATCCCTCCAAACAACTAAACCTTACAATTCCAGAAATGGAGAAGTTTCTTGGTTGTGTCGTTTACATGTCTATTTTTCGTCTACCGAGAACACGTATGTTTTGGGCTGTGGAAACAAAGGCTAACTGCGTTGCCGATGTAATGACCCGTGATCGATGGGAAAGAATAAAAAAGATGCTCCATTTCAATAAAAACGATTTACTTCATGGCGATTCTGATGTTCAACAAGATCGATTGTTTAAAATCAGACCCCCGTTAGAAATGCTTAAAGCAAAATTCAAACCACTGCATCAAGAGCAAGTTTTATGTATCGACGAGCAGATGGTTCCGTTTACTGGGAGGTCAGGGCTGAAACAATATCTTCCCAAAAAGCCCCACAAATGGGGGTATAAAATCTTTATGTTGTGTGGAACAGATGGTTTGGTACACAACTTTGAAATATATACAGGAAAGATACATCCTGTTTCTGGTTACCCTGATCTCGGAGCTAGTGCTAACATAGTCATCAAACTGAACGATAATGTGGAGAATGATGTAAATCACATACTCTGTTTTGACAATTGGTTTACGTCCATAACTTTGATGTCCGTTCTCGCCAAAAGGAAGATCTATTGTATAAGGACGGCGAGACAAAATCGGTTATTGGGATGCGAGCTGGAATCTGACAAAGATTTGAAAAATAGAGGACGGGGATGTTATCAGGAAAAGACGTCATGTGTCGAGGACACTGAAATAAGAGTTGTGAAGTGGTATGATAAACGAAGTGTAACTATTGCCAGTTCTTTTGCCAGCGCCATGCCCACATCAGAAGTCCGAAGATGGGACAACGTCACGAAACAGCACATAATGGCGACTCGTCCTTTTATGGTAGATTTTTATAACCGTAGCATGGGAGGCGTAGACTTGTTAGATGCGCTTATAGCCTACTATAGAATACGCATTCGGTCAAAAAAGTACTACCTGAGGATCTTCTTCCACCTGGTTGATTTGGCTATTGTAAACAGCTGGATCCTATACAGAAGAGATTGTGAGTCCCTGGGAGTTGCGAGTAACAAGCAGCGAGATCTTTTATCGTTTCGAAGTTCGGTGGCAGAATCTCTTTCCAAGCTTGGGAAAATATCGACTCCGCTTAAGCGAGGCAGGCCATTGTCTACTACCCCACCACGAATCAGAAGAATAGCTACTCCACATCCCAACAATGAGGTTAGAACCGACGCCACTGGCCATTGGCCTGTGGTAGAAGCTAAGAGACAGCGATGTCGTTTCCCTGGGTGTGATAGCAAGCCGGTAATCAGATGTACCAAATGCGGAGTATATTTATGCTTGAACAAAGCCAAAAATTGCTTTGCGTGGTACCATGGCGTATATTAATGACCAACAGTACGGTCCACTGAACATTTTCTGTTGTCCGATTTCGTTTATTTTGAATTGAATTTGTTATATTTCCATTCGTATCAGTCGCAATACGTGTGAGTATTGACACAATAAATTCATCACGTGGACGAGTGTATCGATTTCGTGACAAAATTTTTTCTCCCAAATGGGGGGGGGGGGGGTAAAATAAAAAAAATAAGTTTGAATTCGTATTCTACGGCCTTAAATTAGCAAATAACCGAAGCGGCGATTTTTTTCTATCAGCGGATCATAATTCCGGCATTAAGTGGTTAACTGGTATGCTATGTGCAACCGAGCCTTTATTTGCAAGAAAAATTCTAGTTATCAGTTGAACTGAAAACTGTTAGTAATGGCAGAGTTGAGTCTTTAGGCGGGCATGTAACATATTGAAATAAAACCAACTTGAACGTAACATGAAGTTGAATCGAAAACGATCAAGACGTTAATAAAATCTGAATCAATTGAATTTATCACCGATATCTTTATTCAGCGGTATATTGACTTACTGTATAAGCAGCATTTGTCAGTCCACTGTTTATCAAAATAGCTCATTACCGATAGTAGCTATACGTTGAAAGATAGAGAAACTCCCAAATTCGGTTCAATTGCAGACCTTTGTTTCGAGGAGCCTAAACCTGATAAAACTTTTAGATTTTTTCAACAAATGGTGAGAATATAAGTAAAATTTTTTATGTGGAATGAGACATCAGTTTTGAGAATATATTTGCAACATTCAATTGATGGAGAGGCGAGATTTTTAATAGAAATAGGACGTATATATATATATTCTTACTTGGACATCGCCGAATTCTGGAAAATAGCGACAATTTCTGCTTATCCCACAGCACTGCAAAAAGCCTTCTGACTTGTACCTTGTATACGACTAACTTGGTTATGTTATCCGGTCCCCGATTCTATCATGACCTCTCTATGTTTCAATGGATTATGCAAATTTAACATGAATAACATCGTGATATAAGTCAAGTCTGGACGAAAGTTCAATTATTGGACAATCAAATACTATTGGAGGTTGAATATGATTCTCATAGTTTACGTACTTGCATAGTTTCTGTCGTCTCTGTAATAATGAAGCATGTTTTGTCCATGAGAACTGGACAAAAGTTAGAACATTTGCGAATACTGAATTGATCTGAAAATAATAATTATTATAATAAAACTCCTACTAAATTCCCGCAATTTTGTTGTTAATGATTTCTGCAAGTTATAAATAAACTTTTCAGGGAATCATGGACATCGAACTAGAGTAATTGAATCAAAATTTATTGAGCGTGAATATCTTTCACAGAAAAAAAATGAACTGAGACGCAGTATCTAATTATCAATTCCCATCGACCAAGCTAAATAATAATCTTTGATATTTTTGTAATTGTCATGATATTTTTGCTGCAATTTTAAAAATGTCTCAGAGAATGTTATATCTTTTATGGGAAGTGATGTATGTTATCGTCATTTGCGATAAACTTAAGGGATAAAATTTTACCTAAAAATTATGCCACATCACATATATACGGACCATAAGGCGCACCGTGAATAAATTGTTTACCTTGAGGTTTCTACACATAAATGCGCACCGGGCAATAACACGCAATAAGGCAATAAAGCATGAAGTACTACCTGATCCATACATTTAGGCTCACCGGCTTATAAGGCGTACGACCAAAAATGGGATTTAAAGTGAGCTTCATTGTGCGATAAATGCCATAATTAAAACATATTTCTACTGTATTGTGCCTAATAAACGCACAGTTTTCCGTGAATGACAGAAGGCAACACGCGAAAATATCAAAACTTAGTTTAACGATAACGCTGCGACATTTCCACTTCAACTTTTTCAGCGAATTTTGTATTTAGGTTACATAATATGTCCGTTCCGTTGATGCTTATCCTGGTATAGATATTTATTGGAATATCACGGAGCATCCTAATACATACAGCGCACGGTACCGGAAGTTGTTAGCACCGCTGAACAATAGTTGTCTCCTGTTTTCGCACTTTCCATGTTTCGCATCGTGAAAGCTGATCTCTGCATAATCTTAAACAGTTCAGTTATTTTACATTGGAACCTTGTTCAACTCATGTTGGAATTATTCCATATATGGCCGGTACTTTACCAAATATAAATTATCTCGGAAGCAGAATGGAGATATTGTCGCCATTGAAAAAAAAATATAAAGTTAATGGGAATTTGATACTTAGATAGAATGTTGATGAAATTGAAAGCTTTATATCATAGAAAAACCAATGGTTCGTGTTTTGAGCATGTCTGCATAAGCATGGTAAAATGCAAGAGCTTTCTTTTTCCCAAACAGTGTCGACAAGGAAAACGGATATCCGGTAATTCTCTCATCCAATCTTAAATTTGAATTTTTAATTATCTATTTTCAGCTTATATAATGAGGACAATGATGTCA